GAGATGAGCGCGCGGCCCCGGCACCGGCCCGGCCCCCCCGCCCCGCGGCGGCGGCGGCGACAATGGGCGCGGCGGCACCGGGCCCCTCTTAAAAGGGCAACGCGGGGTTGCCCTCCGGTGTTGGGAACGGGACCGGGGCCGGGGCCCGTGCCTCTCTGGGCAGCTGGCTCCCCCCGGGAGTACCGGGACAGGTGAAATCACCGCTGGCCACTGAGCGCCTCCTCCCGCGCCCCCGTGCTGCGAGGGGCGACCGCGGTTCCCGTTCCTGTTCCGGTCCTTCTTCTGCTCCCGGTCCGGTACCCTTCCCGGTTCCATTCCCGCTCCGCTCCTGCTCTGTCTCCTGCTCCCTCTCTCGCTCCCGTTTCGCCCCAGTGTCGGTCTCACTCCGCTCTGCATTACTGCGGTCCACTCCCGGTGCCGCTCCCGGTCTGTTCCCAGCAGCGGTTCCGCTCTCGCTCCAGTCCCAGTCCCTGTCTCTCTCCCGGTCTCACCCCAGTAGAGGTCCCCTTGCCCCTCCCGGTCCCGGTTCTGGTCCCGGTGCCGGTGCGCGGCGGGAGCGTTGTGTGGGGCTGCGCCCGCCAGGGAGCGCCGCAGCTCCGGGGCCACCGCCCGAGCCGGGCACGGGGAGAGCCGGGACCACCGGGCACGGACAGGGCGGACACAGGGCATCCACTGGGTATGGACAGGGCGGACACAGGGCATCCACTGGGTATGGACAGGGCGGACACAGGGGATCCGCCGGGCATGGATAGGGTGGGCAGAGGGGATCAACTGGGCACGGACAGGGTGGGCACAGGGGGATACACCGGGCACGGACAAGGGGGACATAGGGGATCCACCGGGCACGGGCAGGGTGGGCACAGTGGATCCACCAGGCACGGACAAGGTGGACACAGAGGATCCACCGGGTATGGGCAGGGTGGGCAGAGGGGATACACCCGACACAGACAGGGTGAGCACAGAGGATCCACAGGACATGGACAGGTTGGGCACATGGCACCCACTGGTCATGGACAGGGTGGGCACAGGGAATGCACTGGGCATGGACAGGCTGGGCACATGGCACCCACTGGGCATGGACAGGGTGGGCACATGGCCCCTGCTCCCAGGACTGGTGGGTGAGAGCAGTTGCTGGGACCCTCCTGCCCCTGAGCCCCCCACACAGCGTGTCCTCTGTGGGTGTCTGCAGGAGGAAAACTGCAGCCCTCACTTTGGGGGGCAGGGGAGGCTCTGGAAAGCCCCCAGAGCTGAGTGGGGAGCGGGATTAGGGCTGGAGCAGAGGGCAGCAGGGGCCAGCATCACTGCACGGGGAGAGCCATTCCCGTGGTGAGGCCTTTTGGGAAGGAAATGTTTGCCCAGAGGTGCTGCCTGCATCCTGCCTGCACGTGGCCTGGCTTGCCAAGGCTGTGGGCACTGTGGGGGGAGCAGAGTGCTGCAGGGTCCCACTGCACCTGCACTGCCACCCATGCCTCACCCTCAATCACTGCAGCACGGAGGGTTCCCCCTCTCTGCTCCCCTTCTCGGCACCACCTCACCTTTGGCGTGGCTGGGGTGGCACTTTGGCCAGGAGCCAAGTGTGGGCAGCCCGACCACGACCTCCCCAGGAACTGGGACCCCCCCAGGAATCAGCACCCTCCTGAGAGACTGGGGCTCTCCCAGGGATTTCTGCAGGGCGGGGGCCGAGTGGGACCACTCCCCAGTAGCTCTTGATGCCCATCGGTGCCAGGAGCACGTGTCACCTGCCCAGGCACGGGCGGTGCCCGTTACTCTGGGGTGGGGCACTGGCACCCAGCACCTGGCATCACCCGTGTGCTGACTGGGGATGGGGCTTTGTGCCTGCTGGGGGGCCCTGGCACCTGGAGGGAGCTTACTGGGAGGTGCTGGGATGTGGTGGGGCCCTGGGCTGTAGCTGCGTAAGCATTTCGGGGGGGTCACCGGTGTTTATCTGAGCGCAGGGCGAGGCGATGACCAGCGCTAATGATTAACCCTGGGCTGAGCCAGAGGATGAGGCCCCCCCTGCACGAGGGGCTGGGGGGCTCCGTGTCCCCCCCGTGCCCCCCACCAGCTCCTGGCGCCCGTGGCTCAGCCCAGGGAGCCCGGCAGATGCTGCTGCTGCCTCCACCCCAGGATGCCCGGCTGCTGTGCCATCCTGTGCCCACCCGAGGCTGGGTCCGCCCGTGGCACAGCGGTGCCAGCGGTGTCTCCCTGAGCCAGGGGAGTGCGAGAGACCCATCCTGGGAGGCTGATGCTGCAGGGACCCCACGGGCGGGGTGGCACCCCTGTGCCAAGCGGGGCAGAACGACCCCCCCTGCCCGGAGCCGGCGGCGGGGCGGGGCCTCCCCACCTGCCCCAGGTGCTCTATAAAGCTCAGGCCGCTGTCGAGCTGCCAGTTCCGGATCCCTGCACTGGTGTGCCACCAGCTAACGGGAGAGCAGCCGCTGCCGAGCCCCGAGAGGCGCCGGGACCCCCCGGACAAGCCCCATGGCGTTCCCTGCCTTTCTGCTGCTGCTGGTGCTGGGCACAGGTGAGGGGCTGGGGGCGGGCAGGGGGAGCAGAACAGGATCCCTTTCAAAGCAAGGACCGGGGGATACTGGAGCCAGTGGCATCCTGGCAGCAGGGACATTGTCGCCGTTCTGGCTCCGGGGTGCAGCGCCCCGGGGCTGGCTGTGCCCGGGAATTTCGGTGCCTGGGGGCTCTGCCGTGTCCGAAGGGCTCGGCCGAGGGCTGGGCTGTGCCGGGACCAGCCGGAGCAGGCTGTGCCCGGGGCTTGCGGGCTGGAATGCAGGTGTGTCCCGGTGAGCACCCCGACCCCGGGCTCTCCTCCAGTGCCGCCGGCTCCTGCAGCAGCCGCTGGGAACCTGCCCGGGAGCTGCCTGTGCTGGCCCCCAGCCAGGCCAGGCAGGTCTGGAGGGCATGGGGGCACCCCAGCCTGGCACCCACAGCAAGGGGGGCTCTATTGGGTGGCCCCCAGCATGTCAGGGACATCCCAGGGACTGCAGGGCTGGGCACGGCACAGGTGCCAGTGCCACCTGGACCCTCAGTGGTGCCACAAGTTCCCGATCTTGGGGTGTTGCTGAAGGTCTCCTTAGCCTCGTGGGCAACTGCTGGGGGTTGTGGCACTTCCCACAGTGTCCAGCTGATGAGCTGTTTTGGGTGAAACCTTCCCTGACTGTTCTGCAGCCACTGACTGCAGGGGTTTCCTCCAGGTACCCGTGCCATGACCACCGAGACAACCATGGAGATGGAAACCACTGAAACCACCACCGTGGAGATGACCACGGAGACCACCACCGGGTTGCCAAATATATTCCCCAAAAGCACACGGGCCAGCCGGCCCCAAACCTCTGTCTTCCCCTACGCCACTGCATTCCCTGGCACAAACACCACGAACTTCCAGTTTGGCAACCACTCCATGAGCAATGCCACATCCAATGGCACTGTGGTGCCTGTCCAGAGCAGCCCAGCCGTCCCCCATGCCAATGCCACCTCAAACAGCAGCGGCTGGGTCCCCCCCTTTGGCACCAACAGCAGCTCTGCCGCTCCCACCACCGTGCACGGCAGCGCCAAAGGCAACGGGAGCACCAGTGCTCAGGTCTTTCCCACCCAGATAACGTCAGAGGGCAGCACAGCTCCCACCCAGGGTGGCCCCAACCCCAGCAAAACCTCAGCCCAGCTGCCTGCTGCCGTCCAGCTGCTCGTCCGTGTCCCACTGTCCTTCCGCATCATCAACAGGAGCTTCAACGAGAGCCTGCGTGACCCGGCATCGCCGGAGTACCGGAGCCTGAGCCGCACCGTGCTGACCATGGTGAGTGCCGGCCCTGCCAGCAGAGGCTCTGGGTGTGCTGGGGAGGAGCCCCCTCACCCTGAGACAGAGAGCTGTGCTGGAGAGGAGCCCCCTCACCCTGGGGCAGACCCCCCGGGTGTGCTGGGAAGGAGCCCCCTCACCCTGGGGCAGAGAGCTGTGCTGGAAGAACCCCCCTCACCTTGGGACAGAACCCCCAGGTGTGCTGAGAAGGAGCCCCCTCACCTTGGGGCTTTCCATGGCAGCACCTGGAGCATCCATTCTGCCACTTCTGCACGGAGACAGGAAAGGGGGGTGTCTGTCTGTGTCTGTGGGGAGGTGGCCGTGACCTCAATGCTTCCTTCCAGTTCCAACACGTCTTTGGCTGTGCGGGCTGCATGGGCACGCAGACCTACACGGGGTGCAGCGAGCTGCAGTACAGGTGAGCAGCAGCAGCACCAGCAGGGCTGCTGTACTGCAGTGCATCCCCCTGGTTTGCAGCCCCTGGGGGGCAGGCTGGGTGCTGATGCCTCCTCCTGTGCAGCCCAGGCTCGGTGCAGGTCCAGTCCACCCTCGTGTTTGGGAATGGAAGCGATGCTGTCACCGCTGACGCTGCTGAGCAGCGCCTGAGGAAGAGCCTGGACAAGAACGGCTTCATCATGGGCCTGCAGCTGGACAGCATCCAGAGTGAGAGGCTGTGGAGGGAGGGGATGGGGCCTGGGGGGCTCCAGAAGCATTGCCCTGTCCTGGTTGAGGCAGGGGCTCTGCTTGGTGCTTGGTGGGCCTGGGGCTTGCAGAGGGTGGGACTAGTGCACATTCCCAGTGCCCGTGTCAGGCAGGGCTCAGACCCTGTCCCAGGGACGTCTCAGGGCTCTGTCCCAGTTCTGCCTGTGGTGCACTCACAGCTCTGCTCCTTTCAGGCTCTGCAGCAGTGATATCCCCAGCCCCAGCACCCATGATCCCGGACTGGGCCATCGCTCTCTTGGTGCTGGTCAGCATCCTGCTGCTGTTCACCATCTTCACCTGTCTCCTCCTGATGGTGAGGCCCCATCCCCACCCCAGTCCTGCTGCCTGATGCCCTGTCCCCGTCCCCAGGCTCTGCCCCCTCTCTCTCCCCAAGTCCACCTGCACCTGCCGCCGGAAAAGCCGAGGCAAGCTGGACCTGCTGAGCCAGAAGGACTCCTACCACCCCATGGCTGAGTACCTGCAGTACCAGAGCCACGGGCGCTACGTGTCCCCCAACAGCAAACCCAACCCCTACAGCCAGGTGAGAGCCACAGCCCCACCCCGGGGCACTCAGGGGGGCAGAGAGCAGCGGGGCATCCCTGGGGTGATGGGAGATGGCAGGGCGGGGAGATGGCAGGGCAGGGAGATGGCAGTGCGGGGAGATGGGAGGGCAGGAGATGGCAGGGTGGGGAGATGGCAGGGCGGGGAGATGGCAGTGCGGGGAGCTCGTCCAGCCTGGCCGGGAGTTGAGAGTGACATTCACGCCTGGCTGGAGCAGCGGCCGGCGCGGGCAGACCCGGCCCGGCTCCGGGGAGCTCCCCGCGACCTTGGGCAGCCTCTCCCCGTGCCCCGCCCCAGCGGGGGCTCGCTGCCTGCCCACCCTGCCCCTTCCCCTGCTCTGCTGTGTCCCAGCCGGTCTCCCGCAGGTCCCTCAGGTCTCCCGTGGGTGGGGAGCAGGTTTGAGGCACTGCAGAGCTGATGGGGGCTGAGGAGGTGATTCCCGCAGCCAGCATCCCTCCTCCAGCTCCCAGAGCGGAGCTGGAGCTGCTGCCGTGGCAGCGGGAGCTGCCTGGAGGCGCAGCGGGCTCCCCGAGGCGATGCTGGGCTCGGGGGGGAGGCCGCCCCGCGCTCCCCCCACGCGGGGCTGCGGGCGGGGGCCGTGTCCAGCTGCTGCGGCTCCCTGCGAGCAGCTCACCCTGAGCAAACACCAGGGGCCTGGCTAAATATTTACCTTCGCACTCGCCAGGCCGGCTTATCGTGCGGGAACACGGCCGGCTCCTCCCGCGCACGGGGAGGGGGGCTCGGGGTGTCCCTGGGGGTGCCCGCAGCGCCCAGGGAAGGGGGGCAGAGCCCACCACGGTGGCACGATGCCATTTTTAGTTGAGTGGAGAGGGCGCAGCTCATCCTGCGCTGCTCCGGGGTGGGGGCTCAGCCCAGCCCTGACACCCCCTCGCTTTTCCTGCCCCGAAGGTGGCCGGCGGCAGCACCACGAGGTCCGGCACCTTCACCTACACCAACCCCGCCGCCGGCTCCGACAACCTGTGAGGGGCGCGCTGGGAAGGAGGGCGGCTGCCGAGGGGAGGGGGCGGCCGCAGCCCCCCGCCCCCGGGAGAGCAGCGCATCCCCCGGCGCTGCTCGGCCCCTCGGGGGGCAGCGGGAGCCGGGCGCTTCTGGAGCAGCCGGATTCGCGCAGGTGACAGAACGGGATGAGCGGAGACCGGCGGCGGCGAGGGAGGGTCCCGCACGCCCCGCGGTCCCCGCACTCGCTTGGCTTTGCAACCCTGCTCCGTGCCGGGGGTGGAGGACGGGGGTCGTGCTCCCGCTGCGATTCCATGGCTCTTTTTGTGGTGTTGTTTTATATAAATATCTCTGTTTGCGGGGTGTTGGTGCCGGGCTTGGCTCGGCGGGGTGGCAGCTCCTCGGCCGGGCTGTATTTATCACAGATAAAATAAAAGGATGGGGGCAGCCGTGTGTCCCCAGGGCTGCGCCGTGGTGTGCCAGGGGGGCTTCTCTGGGACAGTGACCCCCTGACGTGGCTGTCACCCACCTCAGGGTGGTGGCTCTTGTTTCCCATTCCAGGCAATGCTGGGCTCGGTGCTGGGGGTGTCACCGTGTCCCTGGTCCCTGCACGCCTCTGGATGTGACATGTCCTGCTAGATACCGTCCCTCTCACCCCTCCTGCTCGGTTTCTGCCCGTGATTTAGTGTGGTTGGTTTGCCATGCCCACTTTCCCCGTGGCTGCCCAGGCGGAATGTGCCAGGGCAGCTGCACGTGTGCCACTGGCTGCATGCAGCACATCCTGCTCCCCTCCCCTGCGGGCTCAGCCTCTTCCAAACACTCAGTGAGCCCCAAAAAGGCTCTGGGGGTGCTGGAAGGACAGGCTGTGTGGCAGCACCGGGGCACAGACCCTGGGAGCAGCCATCCCTGGAGCGCAGCGCTGGCCCCCTGGCAGCCCCAGTTTGAGCTGGGCCTGTTCCTGGGCACTGGGAGTGTTTTGGCAACCTCTGAAAAGGCAGAAAAACAAGGAAACCAAGCCTTCCCCAAAGAAAGCCCATGTGGTCACAGGCACGGAGCCAGAGCTTGGCTGGGCACAGCCCCAGGAGCAGCCCAGCAGCGGGCAGCTGATGGAGCCCTCGGCCGCAGAATGTGCCTCTGGGTGGGGCCCGTGGCTGTGCCAGGTGCCCAGGAGCCCTGGCACGTGCTGGGAGCTATCAGAGCTGGGCTGGGGTGCAGGCAAGGGGCTGGGGCTCTCTGGAGAACAGGGGGGTTGGGGGGGTGCACTGGGGGGGGGTCTGGCACAGTGGAGCACCCCCCAGCCCCAGATCCTTTCTGCCAGCTGGGCACGGGGTCGTGTGCCTAGGACAGAGCCCCAAAGGGGATGGGGTGTGCCTGGCACTGCTGCTTCCCCTCTCAGCGCCCCCAGCCCTGGGCAGGGCCCCAGGGATCAGAGCAGGGGCCTGATTTGAAGGGCTGGGCCCTACAAAGCGTTGCCTGTTCACACAGGGCTCAGCCCTGCAGCCCCCTCCCCTTCCAGCTCAGGGACTGGGACCTCCAGGGAGAGGCACCCACCCAGGAAGGCCCTGCCCTGCCTGTGGCCCCTCCAGCTGCCATGCAGAGTACCCAGCTGGGGGTGTCCAGCCCCCTTACCCACTCTGAGAAGGGGTCTCAGCACCCAGCAGCCCCCCTGGCTGGACTGGCTGCCCATGGCACTCCCCAGCAGTGCTGAGGGAGTTTGTTCTGGCCCAGAGATGTCCCCTCCAGGAGCCCCGTGTGACGGAGTGGCTGTGACCATGTGGGCAGGCAGAGCACGGGTAGGACCTGACACGTCAGCACTGCCTGGGCTGGGCAGGGTTAGCACCTGCTGGCCATGGCCCAAAGGACAGCCTGGCCCCATGGCCCCGGTCCCCTGCACGCCTCTGGACACGTGCTCTGGACAGCCTGGGCTCACAGCCCCATGGCCAGCCCAGCACCACAGCCCTGCAGCCCCACAGCCCTGCTACCCCACAGCCCTGAGACCCCATAGCCCTGAAAACTCACAGCCCTGAGACCTCACAGCCCTGGGACCCCGCAGCCCTGGGACCCCACAGCCCTGCAACCTCACAGCCCTGGGACCCCATAGCCCTGTGAGCCCATAGCCCTGAAACCCCATTGCCCTGAAACCTCACAGCCCCATGGCCCCACAGCCCTGAAACCCCATTGCCCTGAAACCTCACAGCCCCATGGCCCCACAGCCCTGAAACCCCATAGCCCTGTGACCCTACCGCCCTGAAACCTCACAGCCCTGAAACCCCACAGCTCTGAAACCCCATAGCCCTGAGACCCCACAGCCCTGGAACCTCACAGCCCTGGGACCCCACAGCCCTGGGACCCCACAGCCCTGCAACCTCACAGCCCCAAGACCCCATAGCCCTGAGACCCCACAGCCCTGGGACCCCATAGCCCTGAGAACCCAGAACCCTGCAGCCCCACAGCCCCATGGCCCCACAGCCCTGAAACCTCACAGCCCTGTGACCCCACAGCCCTACAACCTCACAGCCCTTCAACCTCACAGCCCCATGGCCCCACAGCCCTGAGACCCCAAAACCCTGAGACCCCACAGCCCTGTGACCCCATAGCCCTGAAACATCACAGCTCCATGGCCCCACAGCCCTGCTACCCCACAGCCCTGTGACCCCACAACCCCGTGACCCCTCAGCCAACCCAGACCCAAGGCCCCTGGTCCCCTGGCACCCTGACCCCACGCACAGCTCAGTGCCACGGGCCCCCTGTGCCAGGGAGCTCTGGACGAGTCTGGCACTGCAGTTTATTGTAGGAAACCATGAAAATACAGCGTTTGTTGTAACAGAACCCAGGAGAAATGACAGCAGCTCGGACAGACCCCGGTGTGGGACTGCTGGCACAGCCCCCAGGGTGCTGGGGCTCCCTGGCGGGTCAGATCCAGACCCTGCAGGCCCAGCCCACCCCGGCCATGGGTTGGGCACTGAGCGGTGTAACAGGAGCCAAGCGTGGCCCTGAGGCCACGTGCAGGGCTGGCCAGGCACGTTGCTCCCCAAGGACAGGGCAGAGCAGGCAGCAAGCACTGAGGTGCCCAGGGGCCCACGGGAGGGACCCCACGCTGGCTGTGTGCAGGGGCTGTGCCTGGCTGCACCCAGATGAGCCACGTTGAAAATGAGCCATTTTACAAAACACCTTCACACCTTGTTCCAGCCCAGCCTCCCCCCCCGCCCTCTCCCCCACCCCAGCTGCCGCCCCCACCCCAACCAGCACCCAGCCTCTCCCCTGCACTGTCACCCCACTGTCACCTTCCACCCCCCTCCCTGTGCAGCCCCGTCCCCCTCCCTGACCCATCTCCAGGGCTGACCCTCTGCCAGCCCTGCCCACAGCCCCAGCCCAGAGCAGCCTGGGGCCGAGCTGGAGCCAGGGGCAGGCGGACAGGGCGAGGAGGGGACGGCAAAGCTGTCCCCGTCCCCCCCATCCCACAAAACAAACACCTGGCCTGTCCCCAGTGGTGGCAGGGCCGGGGCCACCCCTGCTCTGCTCTGCTCCCTGGCCACTTGTGTCCCCCTGGCGCTTTGCAGGGTGCCCGGGGGGCACGTGGGGAGCGCGGGCGTGGCTCAGTCCAGCTTGGCGAAGTTCCCGATGGTCACTTTCCTCTCCTGCTTGTTGGCCACCAGCTCCTGGAGGTGCAGGGCCCCCCCTCCGATGAAGCAGAAGGCGGGGCAGACGGGCCCCGAGCAGTCCACGCCGCACTCCCAGAGCTCGCGGAAGGACACGGCGTCGTAGAAGCTCACCTTGCCCTGCTCGTAGTCCAGGCAGATGCCGATGCGCGGGGGCAGGGGCACGGTGCAGCCGTTGGGGTCGCGGGACGTGAGGGCCGAGCCGTGCGACAGCAGGATCTTGCCCATGCCGATGGTGAGGAAGGCGTAGGGAGGAGGTGCCTCCACCGTCGTGTCCTCTGCCCCGCTGTCGTGGCCGCTGTCGGGGTCATACCTGCGGAGGCGGGACAGGGTGAGTCCACCCACACCCCAGAGCCTGCCGGGGAGGTAGCAACAAACCCTGCACCCCCCCAAGCTCACCTGGGGCTCACCACGTCCTGCGGCACCTGGAACCACTCCTGCAGCTTGCTCTCCAGCCCCACGCCCACCTTAACCAGGTAGGAGCTGGGGTCCACGCAGCAGGCCCAGTAGCTCTTGCCCTGGGTGATGGCCACGTCGCCGATGACCAGGTCGATGGACAGGTGGCAGCTGGTCATCAGGCGCTCAGCGGCGAAGAGCATGGGGATGCCGGGCACGCTGCGCACCGCGCGCTGGTCCTTGCTGATGGCCAGCCGGTCCCGGTTGAAGCCCCAGCGGTTGTCCAGGAAGAAGTTGAGGACTGTGGGGAGCAAAGAGGAGAAAAGTGAGCAGCGCAGTGCAGTGGGGCGTCCCGTGTTGGTCCAAGCACCCATCTGTGGTCATCACACATCCTCTGAGCAGACAGAGATATAGTTCTCCCTGGGTTTTTCTGGGAAGCTGTGAGAAAGCTCAGAGAAAGAATTAAAACAATTATTGTCTCAATCTCTGCACCTAGCAGGCAATCTCTGTTCGTCAAAGACATCTACAAGAAGGAGTTGTCCCTTCTTGACCAACAGGTGAGAGAAGATTCCTAAAGGCCAACCAGGTCTTAGGTCCATCGCTGTAGATTTCTGGTAATAAAGTGCCTTTTTTCATGCCTTCTGGTGATGGAGTCTCTACATCACCTTTGGTGACAATTGGTGACCCCGACGCGATCCCACCCCTCTCACCTGGGGCGGGTGGCGTGTGCAGGTAGATGTCCTCGCTGTAATCCCCGAAACCCGCCTTGTTGTAGCCCTTCACCCTGAGCACGTAGACGCTGTCGGTGTCCAGGTACTCGACGAGGGCGCAGGTGCCCCTCACCTCCTCCCGCCGCTGCCACAGCTTCAGCCCCTTGGCCTTGGCGTCGGTCTTGCGGAACTCCACGGTGTAGTGCCAGGCGGGCGGCGAGTGCTGCGGCAGCCGCCAGCACAGGAAGATCTGGTCGTAGGTGTAGGTGCGCTGCGTGTCGATGACGGGGGCCTCGGGCGCTGCGGGGAGAGGCGGCAGCGGCGCGTCAGGCAGCATCCCTCACCCCGAGGGCAGGGAGGCGGCCGGACGCAGGGAGGGGGCATTCCGGGATTCCGGACGGACGGACGGACGCACAACCAGCGGAGTCTAGAGGGGTCTGACTGCGGAGGAGCGTGTGTCGGCACCGGAGGAGAGCGAGAGTCAGGGAGACAGAGGAGCTGCTGCTGTGGGGCTCCAGGGACCAGACAGGCCGAGTGCAAGTCAGGAGGGAGGAGAGAGAAAGAGAGAGAGAGAGAGAGAGAGAGAGAGAGAGTGGAGGCAGCAGGAGAGGAGGAGGAGGAGGAGATGGGGATGAAGGGTGGCAGAAGGTACTGGCAGGAACAGAGGAAGGGTGGGGAGGAGAGATGAAGAGTGGCAGGAGGAAGAGGGGTAAGGAAAGGATGGGAATGGGGCAAGGAAGAGAAAGGAAACAGGATGATGAGGGAGGTAGAAATGGGGCAAGGAGAGGGATGGAAATGGGACAGGAAGAGGACAGAAACGGGGTGAGAGTAGGATGGAAATACAGAGAGAAGGAGAATGGCAATGGGGCAAGGGCAAGTGGGAATGGGATGACGAAAGGGAAAGAAATGAGGTGAGCAGGATGGAATTGGGGTGAGGAGGCAGATGGGAATGGGGCGAGGGGGGAAAGAAATGGGTGAGGAAACGGGTGGAAGTAGATTGAGGAAGAAGAGGGAAATGGGGTGAAAGTGGGAGAGAAATGGGGTGCAGACAAAAACATGAATGGGGCAGAAATGTAGACATAAATGGTGTGAAGAGGGGACAAATATGGAGCAAGAAAGGGAATGGAAATGGGACAAGAGGGGGAAGAAAATGGAACGAGAAGAAGGGTGGAAATGGGGCAAGGAGAGAATAAAAATGGAGTGAGAAATGGGGTGAGACAGGGATGGAAATGGGGTGAGACTGGGCTGGAAACGGGGTGGGATGGATGGAAACAGAAAGTGGGGGAATGGAAACAGGATGAGAAGAAAGTGGAAACAGGGCAGGGATGGGGTTGAAATGGAGCAAGGGAGAGTGGAAATGGGATGAGGAGGAGGCAGAAAATTGGGTGATGAATGGGACAGAAGTGAGGTGAGGACGTGGACAGAAGCGGGGTGAGAGTTGAACAGAAATGGAGTGAAGAAGGGGATGGAAACAGGGCGAGAGGGGACAGAAATGGGGTGAGGAAGAAAATGGAAACAGGGCAAGAGGAGATGGAAATGGGGTGAGAGGGGACAGAAATGGGGTGAGAGGGGCGGAAATGGGGCAGGGAAGGGAGTGGAAATGGAGCAAGGAGTGGGACAGAAATGGGGTGAGAGTGGGATGGAAATGGGGTGAGAGGGGGCAGAAATGGGGCAAGGAAGGGGATGGAAATGGGGTGAGAGGGGACAGAAAAGGGGCAAGGAAGGGGACGGAAATGGAGCAAGGAGTGGGGATGGAAATGGGGTGAGAGGGGACAGAAAAGGGGCAAGGAAGGGGATGGAAATGGGGTGAGAAGGGCGGAAATGGGGCAAGGAAGGGGATGGAAATGGGGTGAGAGGGGACAGAAAAGGGGCAAGGAAGGGGACGGAAATGGAGCAAGGAGTGGGACAGAAATGGGGCGAGAGTGGGATGGAAATGGGGCGAGAGGGGGCAGAAATGGGGCAAGGAAGGGGATGGAAATGGGGTGAGAGGGGACAGAAAAGGGGCAAGGAAGGCAATTCCAACTCTTTCAGCCTCAATCAGGAGGATTAAGGTGGGGGGATGGAAATGGGGGGAGGATGGGGATGGAAGTGTGGCGAGAGGGGGTGGGAGGGCAGGAGGAGTGGCAGATGGAGGAGGCAGAGCCACCGGCTGCCAGCGCCGGCGGGCAGGATGGGGATGGAGGATGGCGGCGGAGCGGGGCCAGGGGTGGGAGCAGGATGGAGGGATGGAGGGATGGGAAGAGAGAGCGGGGCGGCTCTGGGGCAGGGGTGTGACTTGCCTCAGTTACTTCGGTGACGCCTCGGCAGCGGCCGCAGCCTATAAACAAAGAGAGGTAGAAGCAGGTCTGAAACGTGTCGCCAGCGGGTCTGGCAGGGCCACGCGGCTCCTGCCCGGCGGGAAGCGCCTGCCCGGCAGCGGGGCAGCTCCGTACTCACCCTGCGGCACTGCTGCTGCCCTCACCTGGCACCACGGCCCTGCCTGCCTGCCCCTGGCCTGGACGCCCTGGCTCAGGGCAGGGCAGGGGTATCTCTGGGGGCTGCTGGGGCGGGGGCTGTCCCTGACGGGGAGGGGGCACCGGCAGATCCGCGAGCAGCCCTGGGCACTGTGGCCGAGCTGCAGCTCCGAGGCGGGCAGGGCTCTGCCCGCAGGGGCTGTGCCTTGGCACGGGGCACAGCCGGTGCCCGGGTCCCGGTGCCTTTACCTCGGATGAAGGCCAGGTCAGTGAGCAGCTTCAGCTCCCTGCTGACATCCAGCTGGAAGTGGCTGAAGGAGGCGTTGGCTGCAGGACGGAAGCTCTGCAGCGAGTCGGTGGCCCTGAGGATCCTGCAGCACAGGGGAGCCAGGATGTCACGGTGCCACCTCGGGCACCAGAGGGTCCCAACGTGCCCTGGCAGCCCCGTGCCCGCAGCCCGTACCTGTTGTGCAGCTGCTTGGCAGCCTGGACAAAGCAGGGGTGGTCAGTCTCCTTCAGCACCTCCTGGGCATAGCCCACCATGCCCGAGTTCTCCAGCATGGCCTGGTGCTCCCGGATCTGGCCGTGCAGGCTGGCCAGCCGCTCCTGCTGGCACTCCTCGATGGCCTGCAGCAGCGTGGCCCGCTTCTCCTCCAGCATGGCACAGAGCCCCTGGATCAGCTGGGACACCTCCTCCTTGGCCTGTGAGCCGTTTACCTGCCGGGCACAGACACGGCAGGGTCAGCGTGTGGCACCTCCTGGGACTGGAGAGGACTGGGCTGGCTGTGTCACCCCTGCCTAGGGACAGCTCAGGGACAGATGGGGACACTCTGCCCTTACCTCTGTGTGCTTCACTGTCTCCTCCAGCTCAGCAATCTGGGTCTGCACCGTGTCCTGGCTGCTCAGGATGTAGGCGAGGCTCTTCGTCAGCTTCTCCTGCAGGAAGGTGATGAGATGTGGCGCCAGCAGCTCCCACCCCACACCTCCCATCTGCACTGGGGCTCTGTGGTGCCCCCGATTCCCCACAGAGCCCCAGCCTGGCCCCAGGAGCCCTTACCCTGAGGGCCTGGTAGGCGCTGAGCACCGGGGTGATCTTGTGGCTGGTGTGGGTGCGGCGCACGCGGCAGAGCTGGCACACCAGCCGCTGGCAGGTCTTGCAGTAGTGAGTCACCTCCTCCTTGTGCTCCGGGCACATCAGCCCCTGCAGGCACAGTGGGGCTCAGCAGGGCTCTGCACCCCCCTCACCCCCCAGAGTCCCAGCCCTGCACCCCGGATCTCAGAGTCACAGAATGGTTGGGGTTGGAAAGGGACCTGGAAGATCATCTTGTTCTAATCTGCCTGACACGAGCAGGACATCCTCAACCAGACCCCATTGCTCAGAGCCCCACCTTGGCCTTGAACACTTCCACGGCACCTTGTTCCAGGACCACACCACTCTCACTGCAAGAATTTTTTCCTAATATCTAACCTAAACTTACTCTCTTTCAATCTGAACCCACTGCCCTTTGTCCTGTCATTCCAGGCTCTTGTAAACAGTCTTCCCCCACCCTTTCAAAAGTTCCTTTCAGACACAAGGCCACAATTCGGCAACCCCAAAGCTTCTCCTCTCCAGGCTGAACAATTCCAACTCTTTCAGCCTCAATCAGGAGGATTAAGGTGGATAAGGATAAGGAGGACCCACCTTGGGGCGGAAGGTGAGGGTGGGGGGCGTGGGCTCATGCTGGGCTTTCTGCGTGCCCCAGGGGTGGTAGAGCTTGAAGCACTCGTTGCAGAAGCTGGACTTGCACTCCGTGCAGCCCTTGGTGGCCTCCAGCTGCGGGGGCTTGCAGAACTGGCACATGATGGCGGCGCTGATGTTGATGGTCTGCCGGTAGCGCTCCACCACGCGCTCCAGGGTCAGGTTGCGGAAGAGGCTGCCCAGGCCCCGCTCGCCCAGGTCCACGTCCCGCTGGCACGCGGGGCACGGGAAGCTGACGGTCTGGGGGTGCACGGCGCCCCGCTTGCGCCCCGGGTAGGTGCCAAAGCCTGTGGGAGGGAAGCAGGGATGGGGGTCAGCAGGGCAAAAAGCCCCATCCCCACCTGCATCCCTTCCTGTTGTCCCTGCTCCCAACCCCTCCAGCCATCCCTGTCCCCGTCCTCTCCAGCCATCCTCATCCCCCTCTGCTCTTATTCCCTCTGCCATCCCCTCCAGCCATTCACCTCCCCTCAATCCATCCCTGTCCCCTCGATCCATCCCTGTCCCCTCCATCTGTCCCTGTTCCCTCCAGCCATCCCTGTCCTCATCCACTCCAGCCACCCCTGTCCCCTCCAGCCATCCCCCTCTCCTCCAGCCATCCCTGTCCCCTCCAGCCATCCCTGTCCCCTCCAGCCATCCCTGTCCCCTCCAGCCATCCCTGTCCTCTCCATCCATCCCTGTCCCCTCCAGCCATCTCTGTTCTCATCCTCTCCAGCCATCCCTGTCCTCTCCAGCCATCCCTGTCCCCATCTCCTCCAACCATCCCTTCCCTCTCCTCTCCACCCACTCCTGTCCCCTCCAGCTGTCCCTATCCCCTCTGGCTTCCCAAACCCCTCCAGCCATCCCTGTCCCCATCCCCTCCAGTTGTCCCAAACCCCTCCAGCCATCCCTGTCCTTTCCAGCCATCTCTGTCCCCTCCAGCTGTTCCCATCCCCTCCAATTCTCCCAAACCCCTCCACCCACCCCTGTCCCCATCCCCTCTGGCTGTCCCAAACCCCTCCAGCCATCCCTGTCCCTATCCCCTCCAGTTGTCCCAAACCCCTTCAGCCACCCCTGTCCCCATCCCCTCAGCCACCCCGCTGTCTCCAGCCATGGCTGTCCCCCTGCTGTCCCTCCTGGCAGCCCCTCCAGCCCCACCTGACTTGAGGAGGCGGTCCAGCCGGTCGGGTTTGGGGACAGCCCTGCGGCCCAGGCGGGGGCTGCGGGTGGAGGGGGTGGCCGCGGGCGAGGTGGGCTCGGAGGTGGGGTCGCAGTACAGGTGGCCGTGCTGCAGCAGCACCTCGCTGGCACACACGTGGCACACGTTGTGGGTACAGGGCAGCGCCAGCGGCTGCTTGTACATCTCCTTGCACACCGGGCACACCAGCTCCCGCTCCATGTTCTTCATGCTGGTCTGCGGAGAGAGCGGGAGCGTCACCCGCCGGGGACACAGCGGGGCCGGGACCGGATGGGAGCAGCACCGGGGCCAGCACCAGGGCCAGGATCAGGGCCAGGACCAGGACCAGCACCAGGGCCAGGGCCAGGGCCAGGGCCAGCACAAGGGCCAGGGACAGGATCTGGGCCAGCACCAGGGCCAGGATCAGTACCAGGGCCAGGATCAACATCAGGGACAGGATCAGCACCAGGACCAGGATCTGGGCCAGAACCAGCACCAGGACCAGCACCAGCACCAGGGCCAGGACCAGCACAAGGGACAGGATCAGCACCAGGACCAGAGCCAGGACCAGGGCCAGGATCTGGGTCAGGACCAGGGCCAGGATCAACATCAGGGACAGGATCAGCACCAGGGCTGAGATCAGCACCAGGGCTGAGATCAGCACCAGGGCCAGGATCAACATCAGGGACAGGATCAACACCAGGGCTGAGATCAGCGCCTGGGACCAGCACTAGGGCCAGGATCAGCACCAGGGCCAGGATCAGCTCCAGGGCCAGGATCAACATCAGGGCCAGGATCAACATCAGGGCTGAGATCAGCACCAGGGCCAGGATTAACATCAGGGACAGGATCAACATCAGGGCTGAGATCAGCGCCTGGGACCAGCACTAGGGCCAGGATCAGCACCTGGGCCAGGATCAGCATCAGGGCTGGGATCAGCACCAGGATCATGGCTGGGATCAGCACCAGGGCCTGGAATCAACACCAGGGCCAGGATCAACATCAGAGCTGATATCAGCACCAGGGCCAGGACCAGCATCAGGGCTGATATCAGCACCAGGACTAGGACCAGGACCAGTACTGGGACCTGGGATGGAGACAAGGACTGGGACACCATCAGGGCCATGGTGGGGCCTGGCACCAGCACCAGGGACGGCATGTGGACAAACAGCAGGACCAGCAACAGGATGAGGATCAGGGCTGCCACTGCGATGAGGAATGGAGCTGGGATCAGCAGCAGGGCCAGGATCAGGCCTGGGAGCAGTCTGAGGAATGCCAGGATGAAGCCCAAGGCTGGACTGGGAATGGGGACTGGGGCCACAGCAGGACCAGGATTGGGGCCAGCACTGGCACCAGGACCAGCATCGTGGTCAGGATCAGGCCTGGGAGCAGCAGCAGGCTCAGAACCAGGATCAGCACTGAGATGGGGCTGGGGGCTGAGGCTGGGATCACTGCAGGGTCAGGATCAGGCCTGGGAGCAGCACCAGAGCCAGGACCAGCATCAGGAGCAGGGATGGGGGGATGATGAGGACAGGGACCAGCATCAGAGCCAGGATCAGGCCTGGCAGCAGCAGCATGGCCAGAATCAGGACCAGGACTGGGATCAGAACCTGGATGGGACCCAGGCCTGGTGTGGGGATGAGATTGGGGCTGGGCCCAGGATCAGACCAATATCAGGACTGGCAGGGATGGGGATGGGGCCACCACTGGGATCAGCACCAGGATGGGCCCAGGGGGATGGTGGCTGGGATGGGGATGAGGACCAGCACTGGGAATAGTGCCAGGATGGGCCCAGGGCTGGGATGGGGAGTGGGATGGGTGTGGGGCTGGAACTGGGATGGAGAGGGAGACGGGGGCCAGGATGGAGATGGGGGCCGGGATGGAGATGGGGGCCGGGATGGAGATGGGGGCAGGGATGGGGACTGGGGCTGGACGAACGGCACAGCCCGGAGCGGCCCCGCGGCTGGGACCAGCGCCAGGACCGGGCCGGGATGGGGCCGCCCTCCCCGCACCCGGTGCCCCGGCTCGACCACGGCTCGGTGCGGGGGGGTCCCGACGACAGACAGCCCTCCCCGGGAGTCGCTGCGGTGAGTCGGGGTGCGGGTCCGCTGCCCGCCCACCCCTCAAGGGCATCGCCCTCCCCCCCAGTCCCCGCCGCGTTGCCACGGCGACCCGGTCCCGGAGGACCCCCGCCCGCCCCGCCGCCGCCACCGCGGCCGCTCACGCTGATGCGGACGAGCGCGTCCATGATGGAGGTGAAGGTCTGCAGGTCCTCGCCCTCGGCCATGGCTCCGCTCCCCGCGCCCGTGCCTGCGGCGGCGGCAGCGGCGGCCGCGATCGCCCCGGTGTGTTGCAGGGAGCGGCGGAGCCGGGGGGAGCGCGGGGGGCGGCGGCGCGCATGCTCGGGCGCTGGAGGCACCGGAGGGGCGGCACCGGCGCGGGGGTGGCGGAGCGGGGATGCTCTCGCCGCACCACCGAGCATCCCCCGAGGAGCCGCGCCCGGGGAGCGGCGCCGGGGGCGGGCTGCGGGCAGGATGAGCATGGCGCCGGTACGGGCGGTGCTGCCGGGGTGCTCCCGAGGGGGTCCCGGTGCCGGTGGCGGTGCCGGTGCGGGGGTCCCGTCCCCGCGCTGTTCCCGTCCCCGCCGCCAGGGGGCGCTCCGGGGCTGCGCGGGCTTGCAGTGCCACTCCCGGCCGCCAGGGGGCGCGCGCTGGGAGGGGCGTAACTGGCCTTGGTGCCTTCCCCATTGCACCCTCCTATAGCCTCCACTGCACCCCAAAATTGGGCCTGATGCCCTCCCCATTGCACCCCCCTATGGCCCCCACTGCACCCCCAAATTGGCCTTGGTGCCCTCCCTATTGCACCCTCCTATAGCCCCCGTTGCACCCCAAACTGGCCCCTATTACACCCCTATGGCCCCCATTGTACCCCCAAACTGGGCCTCATTACACCGCCCAATCGTGCCCATTGCACCCGGGAATGGAGGTGTGGCTGGGCACAAGGGTATTGGGGGCACGGGGGTAACGGGGTTAACGGGAGCGGGGGGTACCGGGGCGGGGGATACCGGGGAGAGGGAATGGAGGTGTGATGGGGCAGGAGGGTATCGGGGATAACGGGGTTAACGGGAATTGGGGCAAACTGGGCCTCATTACACCGCCCAATCGTGCCCATTGCACCCCCAAAACTGGGCCTGATGCCTTCCCCATTACACAGGTGTGATGGGGCAGGAGGGTATCGGGGATAACGGGGTTAACGGGAATTGGGGGGTACCGGGGAGAGGGAATGGAGGTGTGATGGGGCAGGAGGGTATCGGGGGCACGGGGATAACGGGGTTAATGGGGAAAGGGAATGGAGTTGTGATGGGGCAGGAGGGTACCGGGGGCACGGGGATAACGGGGTTAACGGGAGCAGGGGGGCAGGGCACGGCGCCGGGCTCAGCCCCGGTGCCGGTGCCGGTGTGAGCCGCCCCGGGGCGCAGCCGTAGGCACGGGCACGTCGCTGGCGCTGTCGTCGCTGCTGTCGCTGCTGCTGTTCGCCGGGATGCAGATGTACAGCCGGCAGCTGGCCTCCACCGAGTGGCTCACCATCCAGGGCGGGCTGCTGGGCTCGGCGCTCTTCGTCTGCTCCCTCACGGCATCCCTGGGCTCAGCACGGGGGCTGCAGGGGACACGGGGCTGGGAGCAGGGCCACGGGGGTGCTGGGGGGCAGCCCCCGTAACACCCCCTACTGCCCTCCCCACTGCATCCCCAAACTGGGCCCCATTACACCCCTATGGCCCCCATTGTGCCCCAAACTGGAACCTTTTATAACCCCCTATGGCCCCCATTGTACCCCAAACTGGGCCCTTTTATAACCCCCTATGGCCCCCATTGCACTCCAAACTGGCCTTGGTGCCCTCCCCATTGCACCCCCCTATACCCCCCTATGGCCCCATTGCACCCCAAAGTGGCCCCAACACCTCCCAGGGCACGGGGAGGGTGGGCCATGAGGGCAGCAGGGTCCCGTTGTGTTCCTTAACTCCATACGCAGGCCTTCAACAACCTGGAGAACCTCATCTTTGGGAAGGGCTTCCAGGCCAAGATATTCCCTGAGAGTAAGTGTTGTGGGAGCCCAGGAGGGCAGCGGGGACACAGCGGGGTCCAGGGGTGGCACTGGTGGTCCCAGCCCTGCCCTGAGCTGTGGCAGCTCCTCTCCAGCTTTTCCTGGGGCTGGGGGCACGGGGGGCTGCAGGCATGGCCCCCCATGAGCCTGGTGTGTGTCCTGCTTCCCCACAGTCCTCACCTGCCTCTTGCTGGCCCTGTTCGCCTCTGGCCTCATCCACCGGGTCTGTGTCACCACCTGGTAGGTGCAGAGGTGACATGGGGGGTGGGAGTGACCGAGGGGACACCGAGGGGTCACGGGGGACACCGGGAGGGGGGCAGGAGGCTGGGCAGGGAGCATCAGGGGGCTGGGAGGAAGGGCAGCACGGTGGGGTCTGAGGGAGGGTGGTTGGGAAGGGCAGGAGAGGGGGATCCAAGGGGAAAATGTTTGGGAAAGGCAGGGGAGTGGGATCCAAAGGGAAAATGTGGTTTCAGGAAGGGCAGCACAGTGAGATCCAAGGGAAGGTGTTTGGGAAGGGCAGGAGAGTGGGATCCTGGGGGGAAATTGTTTGGGAAAGGCAGAAGAGGGGGATCCAGGGGGAAATTGTTGGTTTAGAGAGGGCAGGGGAGTGGGATTTGAGGGAGGGTGTCTGGGAAGGGCAGGAGAGTGGGATCCAAGGGGAAAGTGTGGGTTTAGAGAGGGCAGCACAGTGGGATCCAAGGGAGGGTGTTTGGGAAGGGCAGGAGAGTGGAATGCAAGGGGAAGTTATTGGTTTATGAAGGGCAGGAGACTGGGATCCAAGGGGAACGTGTTTGGGAACGGTGTTTGGTTTAGGAAGGGCAGGAGAGTAGGATCCAATGGAAAGTGTTGGTTTAGGAATGGCAGCACAATGGGATCCAAGGGAAAGTGTTTGGGAAGAGCAGGAGAGTGAGATCCAAGGGGAAATTGTTGGTTTAGAAAGGGCAGCACAATGGGATGCAATGGAAATTGTTTGGGAAGGGCAGCACGGTGGGATCCAAGGGGAAATTGTTGGTTTGGAAAGGGTAGGGGAGTGGGATCCAATGGAAATTGTTTGTTTGAGAAGGGCAGCACAATGGGATCCAAGGGAAAAGTGTTCAGGAAGGGCAGAAGAGTGGGATCCAAGGGGAAATTATTGCTTTATGAAGGGCAGGGGAGTGGGATCCAAGGGAGGGGTTTTGGGAAGGGCAGCACAGTGGGATCCAGCTGGAAATGTTGGTTTAGGAAGGGCAAGGGACTGGGATCCAAGGGGAAATTGTTGGTTTAGGAAGGGTAAGGGAGTGGGATCCAATGGAAATTGTTTGGGAAGGGCAGGGGAGTGGGAGCCAGGGCCAAGGTGCTGGGGTGAGCCTGGCATGTCGCTGCCCCAGCAGCTGAGCAGCCTCTTCCCTTCTTCTGCCCTCGCAGCCTCATCTTCTCCATGGTGGGTCTCTACTACATCAACAAGATCTCCTCCACTCTCTACCAGTCCACAGCGCCCGTCGCTCCCCCTGCCAAGGCTGTTGGCAAGGGCAGAAAGAGAAATTGATGTCCTGCTGCCCCTTCCTGGGGCAGCCCCCTCCCTGTGGCCGATCCGGGACTCCCCCCTGCCCAATAAAGCCATTTCTTTGTAGCTTCTTGTCCCCTGTGCCAGCTGCCAGCCCAGTTCCTGGCCCCGCTGTGTGCCAGTGTGGCTGGAAGTGGCCCCGGGGTAGGTTCTGGGTTGCCCAGGGGAGGTGAGGGTGGCCGAGGGTGGGAGATGTGCTGCTGGCATCGCGTGTGCCCAGCCCTGCAAGGCAGGAAGATCCCAGTGGAGCCAGGATTGGAGCGGGCAGGGGGCTGTGGGGGTCCAGCCCCAGCTGCTGCGCTGGCACAGCTCAGCCTGCTGCCTTTGGCAGGGCACCGCAGACCCGTCCGTGCCCTCCGCACTGCACCGGGGGGGCACCGGGGCTGCCGGGCTGGGAACGGCGCGGTTCCCGCAGCCGTGGGAGGGCGGGCGGGACTCGCTCCCACGCCGGGTCCCTGGCACCCCTCCGGCCGGACGCGGAGGAAACCAGATGCTTCCGGCGGCCGACAAAGCCCGGCGCTTCCTGCGGCACCGGGAGCGGGGCCGGACCGGGGCTCCCGGGGGGCTCCCGCTGCTGCCGCGCCCCGCCAGCAGGGGGCGCGCTCTGGCGCGGCTCCGTAGAACTACAACTCCCGGCAGCCCTGGCGCGCGGCGCCGCTCTGACGCTGTCACGGGCGGGAAGCGGCACCGGCACCGGGAGCGGGACCGAGCCAGGTGGGGCTGGGCCCGGACCCGGGTTCGGGTCCCGGTTCGGGGCCGTGTCCGGACCCGGGTTCGGGTCCCGGTTCGGGTCCGTGTCTGGCGGGTGGAGGCCCACGGGGGATTGGAGCCACTCTGCCGGGGGAGACCGGGCCCGGCGCGCGGCGCTCCGTCTCTCCCGGCTCCCTCCTCCTCCCTTCCGCGTCCCTTCTCTCCGCTGTCCCTCTCACGGCTCCCCTCCTCCCGCTGTCCCCTCAGGCCGCCATGACCAAGCTGGCGCAGTGGCTCTGCGGACTGGCCCTGCTGGGCTCGGCCTGGGCCGCGCTGGCCCTGGCCCCGCCGGGGCTGCCGGCGCCGCTCCGCCAGGCGCTGCTGCCGCTGCCCGTCTACCTGCTGGTGGCCTTCGGCTGCTTCTCCCTGGCCACCGTGGGCTACCGCCTGGCCACCTTCAACGACTGCGAGGAGGCGGCGGCCGAGCTGCAGGAGCACATCAGGGCGGCCAGGGCCGACCTGCGGCGGCGGGGGCTGCGCCTCGGGGCTCAATAAAGGCCCGGACGGTGCTGGCCGTGCTGCGTGTGACCGCGGGGCTCGGCGGGGACGGGGAGCGGGCGCTGCGGGCCCGGGGGCTGCGGCAGGGCACCCGCGGGAGTCACTCGGTTATCCCGGGCTTGGTTCTCGGGGTGTGTGCGGGTTTGGGGGTCTGTGAGGGGCAGGGTCTCTGTGAGGGTCCACTGGGAGCTCGGGGGCTGCTGGAAGGGACCCGGAGGAGTCACTTGGTTCTCCCAGGGGAATCACTTGGCTCTGGGGGGTGCAGGGAGGGTTTGGGGGTTCTGTGAAGGGCAGGGTCCCCATGCCCTGTCCACTGAGAGCCCTGCTGGAAGGCACCCCGAGGAGTCACTAATCACTTGGATCTGGAATGATTTGGTTCTCCCAGGGGAATCACTTGGCTCTGGGGGGTGCAGGGAGGGTTTGGGGGTTCTGTGAAGGGCAGGGTCCCCATGCCCTGTCCACTGAGAGCCCTGCTGGAAGGCACCCCGAGGAGTCACTAATCACTTGGATCTGGAATGATTTGGTTCTCCCGGGGGAATCACTGGGTTCTGGAATGATTTTGTTCTCCCAGGGGAATCACTGGGCTCTGGGTGATGTGAGGTGGGGGTTTGGGGGTTCTGTGAAATGGTTTGGGGTTCTGTGAAGGGCAGGGTCTCCATGGGAACCCCCCGGAGCCGCTGCTGCCCATCGCTGAGCTCTCTGGCACTGCTCTGAAGCGGATGCGGCACCGGGGCCGTGCCCCAGAGGCGTTCCCGGCTCAGAGGTGGCTCAGCCCGGCAGGTGAGGGCTGGAGGAGCCTCATCCCGTCCCGCAGGCCGAGTTCCCGGCAAGGAGGAGAGGGACTGGTGGGGTGGGGCGGGCGACACAGCCTTTAAATTGAGGTTTGGTGTGTCCCCCACCCCCACAGCACCTCCAGGGGAGCTCCCCCGACTCCTCTGCCCATCCTCACTGGGCTTCACTGGGAAGAGGGAGGGGTGGGGGGCTCTGTCGGGACCCCCATTTCTGCTCTCTGACCCCGTGTGCAGGAACCTGCTGCCCCGCACTTTGGGATTTTAATTAGCAGCTGTGTGTGCTCTGCAGAAAGGAGCAGTTGGGAGCGGGAGGGAGGACTCGGGTTAATTAGCAGGAGCAGCTAATTAGCTGTTTCCTGAGCAGCAAAGGCTGGTGGGAGCAGAGTGGGAAGCTCGATGGCACACGGGTGGTTGGGGGGGTGACATTGCCCTGGATTTGGCCACGTGGGGCCTTGGTGGGGCCAGGACCACAGCAGTGCTCTGGGGGCTACTGACAGCCTTCTGTGGGCTACTCAGGGTCACCAGGGGCTCCTCACAGCCAGCCAAGGGCTCCTCATGGGCATTCAAAGGGGCTGCTGTATCTATCCAGTGGCTACCTGTGGTCATGCAGGGGCTACTCATGACTCTGCAGGCTACTCATGGCAACCTGGCTCCCTCCTGGGGCTACCTGTGGCCCTCAGGGGCTACTGACAGCCAGTCAGGGGCTCCTTGTGGCCATTAGGGGCTACTTACACCCATCAGGGGCTACTGACAGCCAGCTAGGCGCTCCTTGTGGCCATCCAGGGGCTCCTTGTAGCCCTCAGGGGTTCCTTGTGGCCATCAGGGGCTACTGACAGCCAGCTAGGCGCTCCTTGTGGCCATCCAGGGGCTCCTTGTGGCCCTCAGGGGCTACAGACAGCCAAGCAGGGGGCTCTTTGTGTCCCTCAGGGGCTCCTTGTGGCCATCAGGGGCTACTGAGGCTACTCAGGACCATCAGGGGCTACTTGTGGTCATCTAGGAGCTACTCACAGCCATGTGTGAGCTACCCATGACCCTGTGCAGGCTACTCATGGCAATCCAGAGCCTGTACTCATGGCCTTCCAGGGGCTACTTATGGTCATCCAGGGGCTACTTATGGTCACCAGGGGCTGCTCAGGGCGATCCAGAGCCTGTGCTCAGGGCCGTGGGGAGCTCCTCCCAGCCCGTGTGGCAGCAGCTCCTCCCTGCCTGGAAGATCCGGGAGCTGGCACGAGGGGCCACGTCACCGGCGCTCCCGGCACGGGCCAGCTGGAGCGACCGGTTGGCAGCCGAGGTGTGGCAGTGGAGAAAGCTGCCCTTTCCCGAGGCTGGCAGCTCTTTCCCGAGGTTGGGGGGCTCCTCCCTGCTGGGCCAAGTCCTGGGAGCAGCCAGAGCAGGCACGGGGAGCCCCAGCTCCACAGGGCAAGACAGAGCACGCCAGGAGCTCGTCCTCCTTCCCTTGGCACCACGCTCAGCTCTGTCCCTTTGTATGGATTTTTCCAGGCTGTGTGTGAGGTGTGCACGAGCAGAAGGGGCTACTTATGGTCATCCAGGGGGTACTTGTGGTCATCCAGGGGCTGCTCAGGGCGATCCAGAGCCTGTGCTCAGGGCCGTGGGGAGCTCCTCCCAGCCCGTGTGGCAGCAGCTCCTCCCTGCCTGGAAGATCCGGGAGCTGGCACGAGGGGCCACGTCACCGGCGCTCCCGGCACGGGCCAGCTGGAGCGACCGGTTGGCAGCCGAGGTGTGGCAGTGGAGAAAGCTGCCCTTTCCCGAGGCTGGCAGCTCTTTCCCGAGGTTGGGGGGCTCCTCCCTGCTGGGCCAAGTCCTGGGAGCAGCCAGAGCAGGCACGGGGAGCCCCAGCTCCACAGGGCAAGACAGAGCACGCCAGGAGCTCGTCCTCCTTCCCTTGGCACCACGCTCAGCTCTGTCCCTTTGTATGGATTTTTCCAGGCTGTGTGTGAGGTGTGCACGAGCAGCAGAGGCACAGCACGGCTCCTGCCAGCATCCTTCATCCCAGCTCCTCACAGCCAAGTGGGGCATGAGGCTCCTCGGTCCTGGGGGGGTCCTGCATGGAGTGGGGGTCTCTAAGTCTGCAGGGTCTGCTGTGTGATTTGGCCCCTCCACTGAAGCACAGCCTGATATCTTCATTCCACATCGCTGTTAATTGGTTAATTGACAGAGCATCGATGCTTGATCCAGGCCTGCTCGATCCACGGGGGTTTAGCAAGGATTCCCATCGATCCCCAGGTCCTGCCATGGTGGCTGCTCGTCAGTTCCACAGACTTTTACCCCCACATGGTGACGGGAGGCTCCCTCAGGGTGCTCAGAGCAGCGCTGGCTTCCCTAGGCTCCCCTTGTGGGGGGAACACTGACTCCTCGGTCCTGGAGGGGGTCCTCCATGGGGTGGGGGTCTCCTTCTTCAAGTCTGTGGTGTCTGCTGTGTGATTTGGCCCCTCCACTGAAGCACAGCCTGATATCTTCATTCCACATCGCTGTTAATTGGTTAATTGACAGAGCATCGATGCTTGATCCAGGCCTGCTCGATCCACGGGGGTTTAGCAAGGATTCCCATCGATCCCCAGGTCCTGCCATGGTGGCTGCTCGTCAGTTCCACAGACTTTTACCCCCACACTGTGACAGGAGGCTCCCTCAGGGTGCTCAGAGCAGTGCTGGCTTCCCTGGGCTCCCCTTGTGGCCCCAACACCAGGGCTGATGGCTACTGAGGGTTTGCCAGAGCCCAGGGTGTGTCAGAATGAGCCCCCTCCCCAAAAAGCAGCCCCTGTTTGGCCATAAGCAGCCCCCTGGCTGGCCACAAGGAGCTCCCAAAGCAGCTGCAGGGCCAAGAGCTGTGCCATCCTCTGCAGCAGGAGGGAGGTACAAGAAGCAGGCGCTGGGAAGTCTGTGATTTATTAAAAGGCACTTGAACCCATACAAAAGTGACACGTGGACCCCTGGAAGCCACTCAAAAGCCCTGCCCCTCAAAATCCTGCTGCCAGGCAGGGCCATGGGCATGGAGAACTTTCCTCCCACCTGGAGTTTGAGGGGCTTGCAGTACCCCAAAGGATTCGCTGAGAGCTCCAGGGCCTTGGCTGAAGGACGCAGGGCTGGAGGCAGGAGGTCCTTGCTGGTGTCCCACTGGGAGTGGCCGAGGGGACAGCGGTGGGGCCAGCCCAGGCCAGAGTTGGGGTGCTCCTGAGGGCCCCCTCAGGCAGGCAGGGCGCTGTAGGGCTTGTCCTGCTCTGGCCTGTACCGCTGGAAGAGCCAGAACCGCACGAGGCTGGTGACGATCCCTGGCACGTTGGGGACCTGCAGGACAGGGGGGGACAGTGGATGTACCCCTCCCCCTGTGGTGCCAGGGGAGGCTTAATGGCCCCATCCCAGCTAATTAATGAAAATCAATAGTTATGCTGAGCCCTGTCACAGTTGGCTGGGTGACACAGGCGGTGCTGAACGGGGCCAAGCCAAGTGCTCAGCTGAGACATGAGAGGGGAATGGGGTGGGATGGAATGGGATGGGATCAGTGGGATGGGATGGGATTCATAGGATGGGATGGGATTGATGGGATGGGATGGGATGAAGTGGGATCGATGGGATGGGGTGGGATGGGATTCAGAGGATGGGATGGGATCAGTGGGATGGGATGGGATTCATAGGATGGGATGGGATGGGATGGGATGGGATGGGATGGGATGGGATGGGATGGGATGGGATGGGATGGGAGGGGAGGGAGGTGGGATCAATGGGATGGGATGGGGTGGGATGGGGTTCATAGGATGGGATGGGATCAGTGGGATGGGATGGGATGGGATGGGATGGATAGGATGGGATGGGATCGGATTCATAGGATGGGATGGGATCAATGGGATGGGATGGGATCAGTGGGATGGCATGGCAGTGGGGTGGGGATGGTGAAGGACAGGATGGGATGGAAATGGGGTAGGGATGGGGATAGGATAGGATGGCAATGGGGTGGGGATGGCGATAGAATAGGATGGGATCGGGGCGGAATGGGGATGGAGTGGGGTGAGATGGGAATGGGATGGGGTAAGATGATGCAGGAGGGAGACAGAACAGAATGGGATGAGATGGAGAAGGGTGGAATGCAGGTGAAGCAGGCCAGGGTGGGGTGGGATGCAATGGAGTAGGATGGGTTGGGACATGATGAGATGGGCTAGGATGGGATGGCACCCCTCAGCATCCCACCACCCCAACCCACTGTGATGTAGGGATCGTGGAGCTGCAGGCCATAGAGTGTCCAGCTGCTGGAGGCCACAAGGGTGGTGACAGTCAGGGGGAAGGACAGGCAGCGCGTCGACTTGCTCCGGACAACCTTGGCCTGCAGGAGCAAACGTCAGGCAGGGCCCGGGCTGGCGAGCCCCAGCCCTGCCAAGCCCCACACACCAGGTCAGCCAGCGGTGAGAGGTACATGCTGATGGTGAAGACACTGCAGAAGAGCCCCAGGTGTGTCAGGCGTGCCCCCGTGTCAACCAGGATGGTGAAGTAGCCACAGCCAGTGACCACCACAGCCAGGAGCAGCAGGACCTGCAGCAGCACGGGGCGCTGGGAGGGACAGCAGGGGGACGTCAAGGTGAGGGTCCCCCATCCTCCCCATGGCCCCAGGCCCCTGCCCCACCTTGGCAGGGCTGTAGTAGAGGTACACCAGGATGTAGAGGGTCTGCAGAGCCGCCCCGATGGCGTTGACGGTGATCACTGTCCCGTCCCCCTTCAGGCAGCCATAGCCCAGCCAGCTCAGGTTGCTGCAGGGATATGGCACAGGCACTTGGCTGCAGCCTGGGGGAGCCCCCCTGCCCCTCAAATCTGTATGATCCCCCCCTCCCCAGGATCCAACCCTGCTGTACTTGGCGTCGGTGGTGAGGAAGGGCAGGAACTGGATGTTCTCCACACTCTTGGTCGCCAACATCTGGCGCAGGTCAGACCTGGGGAGGGCGGAGGGCAGCACTCCTGGGTGCCCAGCAGTGCTGGGAGTGGGGACTCCAGTCTCTGCAGCCAGCAGGCCCTGCACCCCCTGCTCCCCTCCCCCTGCACCCCAAAACAGGACTCACACCACCCCCAGTCCCTCTGCACCAGCCATCCATGGGCCACTGCACCCCCAAACTGGGCCTGGTGCCCTCCCCATTACACCCCCCTATAGCCCTCACTGCACCCCCAAACGTTCCCTATTTTACCCCCAAATGTCCCTCCACGGCCTCCACTGCAGCCCCCCAAAATGCCTCTGGTCCCCCCACTATTGCACCCCCAACCCTCCCACCAGGCCCCACAATGCACCCCAAAACCAGCCATGGGGTCCTGATCACACCCTCATCCCCCAAGGGCCCCCTGCACCCCAAAACCAAGCCCTGGGGTCCTCATTGCACCCTCATCCCCTATGGGCCCCCTGCACCCCAAAACCAGTCCTGGGGTCCTGATCACACCCCCATCCCCTATGGGCACCCTGTACCCACAAACCCCTCCCCAAGGCCTCCACTGCACCCCAAATCCAGCCCTGGGGTCCTGATCACACCCTCATCCCCCAAAGCCCCCCCTGCACCCCAAATCCAGCCCTGGGGTCCCCCCCTTCCCCCGGCCCTCGGTGCCCCCCGAGCTGGCCCCGTCCGTTCCGCAGCGCCCCCGCCCCGCCCGGGGCCGCCGCCGGTCGCTCACAGGCCGGTGGCGAACATGGCGAGCGTGGCGGCCAGGCAGAGCCCGGCGAGCACCGACAGGGCCATGCCGGACAGCGGGAGCTGCCCGCGGCCGAGCCGAGCCGAGCCGAGCCGAGCCGAGCGGGGCGGCACGCACTACCGGGGAGGGGCGGCGGGGATCCGGCTGCCAGCGGGGGGAGCGGCGCCCGCCGCACCGGGGGAACCGGCAGGGCACCGGCAGGGCACCGGGGTGGCGGGTATTGAGCGCCCCACTGCAGATTTGGGGGTGCCGCGTGAACCCCGGGGTGCAGATTGCACAGCACGGCGGTGTCACACCCCTGTGACAGCAATTCCCCTGTGACCCCACTGTCCCACGGTGACCCCACACATCCTGGGGGTGTCACACATCGCTGTGAGAACAATTCCCCTAGGATCCACATTTCCCTGTGACCCCACTGTCCCAGGGTGTCCCCACACATCCCGAGGGTCACACAGCGCCGTGACAACAATTTCCCTGGGATCCACATTTCCCTGTGACCCCACTGTCCTAGGGTGTCCCCCACACATCCCAAGGGAATTCCTCTGGGATCCACATTTCCCCTGTGACCCCACTGTCCTAGGGTGTCCCCCACACATCCCAAGGGTCGCTCATCTCTGTCACAATTCCCCAGGATCCTGCAGCCATGGGATCCACATTCCCCTGTGACCCCACTGTCCTAGGGTGTCCCCCACACATCCCAAGGGTCGCTCATCTCTGTCACAATTCCCCAGGATCCTGCAGCCATGGGATCCACATTCCCCTATGACCCCTCTGTCCCACAGTGTCCCCACACATTCTGGGGTGGTCACTGATCCCTGTGACAATGATTCCCCTGGGATCCACATTTCCCGGTGACCCCACTGTCCCAGGGTGTCCCCGCACATCCCGAGGGTCACACATCCATGTGACAATAATTCCCCTGTGACCCCACTGTCCCAGGGTGTCCCCACACATCCTGGGGGTGTCACTCATCCCTGTGACCCCTCTCCGTGACCCTCCATCTCTAGGGTCCCCCACATTCGGGTGTCAAGCATCCCTCTGTGCCCCAAAATCTCACCTCTCCAGGACCCTCGCTCCCTGCAGTTCCCAATTCCAGGGCCCCAACCCCTGTGATCCCAGCTCCCTGCACCCACAGCGTCTCCCCCTCAGGGGTCCCACATCCCCGGGCTCACCCCGCGGGGGTCCCTGGGGTGCAGCCAGGCTGTGTCCCCTGCCCAGCCCCCTCCTCACCAGCGGTGGGATTTACCAGAGCCACCGCACGGGGTCTGCCACATTCCAGCGGGGTTTGCGCTGCCCCCCACCTGGAAGCTCCCTCCCCTCAGGGCAGGCCTTTGTGTCACCAGATAAAGCCGGGGACAGTGCCAGCCACTGTGGCACTTTGCCACTTAACAGCCCCGTGCAAACACCAGCCAATTAATTAATTAACCAGCCCAACCCCCCACAGGGGCCAGGAGAGCCTTGGCCCAGGGGGGTGGGGGAGGTCTCAGGAGCTCCGCGTGGTTTTGGTTATTTATTCCTGACAATGGTATAAAAAAGTCCCGTATTAGAAAGCTGTACAAAGGGGGTGCTGGGGGTCCCTCCGGCACCCGGCGGAGGGGAGGGATGGGGAAGGGCCAGGGGATGGAGGAAGGACGGGGTAGGGGTGCAGCGCAGTGAGGAGTGGGATGATCTCTGAGCCCCGCTCCCCTGGCTGCGGGGCGGCTCCAGCCTGTCTGTGCTCCCAGGCCACTGACGCTGGGGGGTAAGTGGCCCCTGCAGCGCTGTCACCTGGCCACCCCCACGTCCCCGCCTGCAGGACACATTCCAGTTCCAGCCCACCCCGAGGGTGGTGGGCGAGCTCAGCTGCGGGGCAGGGGTGCCAGCCCCCTGCCCCTCTCCAGTCCGGGGCACCTCAGCCCCTCCAGCTCCAGGCTCCCGCTCGGCCTCTGGCTGCCAGGAGCACCCTGGAAGGGCCAGGGCAGCCTGAAGGCTCCAGCTGCTGCGATGGCTTTGGGCCCTCCAGCCCCATAATACTGACAAATCCTTTCCTGGCCCAGCTGTGCACGGGGCAGGGCACCCGGGGCAGATGTGCGGGGACCACGGGGGCCCCCAATGGCCACAGCCTCGGTGGGTCCGGGCACGAGGGCCGGCTCAGAGCCCCTGCGGCAGCAGGAGGGGCAGGAGGAGGCTGATGAAGGTGAAGGGGCGGCTGCTGCTGCGCATGGCCGAGTTCTGCCCCACGCTCCTCAGCACGTGTGCGGCCGCGTCGTCTGCGGGGGCAAAGAGAGGAGCCATCAGCAAGCAGCAACCCCAGAAGAGAAACCGTACCCCAAACCAGCAGCACATCACCCCTGCAGAGGGCTGCCACCAGATTTGGTAGTTCAGCCACTTCCAGAGCCCCCAGGAGGGGCAGGTGAGCCCCAACGCCCCCCACAAACCCATGGGTGGCTGTGTTCAGGCCAGTGCCCCCCACCTGCCTCCCCCCCTGCTCAGCCCGGTGCCCCCAAGAACACCCTGCCACGCCAGAAAGGGAATCTGGCCCAGCCCCACCCCACAGCCCCCAACACACCTGCCTGGATCCTCCCCTTCTGCGTCGAGGCCGGGGCAGGCGGCGCCGGAGCTGCGGAGCAAACGGGGGGGTCACGGAGGGTAGGGCAGCACCCCAACCTCCCCAAAATCCCAAAATCCCGCCTCACTGTGGGCTGTCTGCCCCCTCCCTGCCCCCACCAACACCTTCCTGGCCAGGCTGCGCGTGCCCACACCCCGGGCTGGCCAGGGGCCACGGCCAGGCCGTGACTCAGCGCGGCCAAGGCCACGCTGGGAAGGAGGGGACGCGGGGGGGGGCCCCGAGGGGGTGGTGATACTCACTGCCTTTGCCTGTCACCGTCACCTTCAGCTTCAGGCAGGCTTCGCCGTGGTGGTGGATGGGTTTGGCTGGGAAGGGAGAGGCAGGTTAGGAAGGGATGGGGGCAGCCCGATGGGGAATCCCTGCAGCAGCTGGGAGCCCCCCCCGCAGCCCCCCAGCACTCACAGATGTAGTAGTAGCTGTGTCCCTCCCTGAACTCCTTGCCCAGCGTGAAGGGAGTGAAGCGCTGGAACTTCTCCGAGAACTTCTCGGGGCCGTGCAGGGCGCTGGGCTTGTCGCATTCCCAGCGGATCTGCTCCTTGGAGCGCGGCTTGCAGGCCTGGTACTCCTCCAGCTCCACCAGGTAGAGCGTGTAGCGCTCCATGGCCCGGGGGTCCACGCTGCCCTCCTCGTAGTGGGGGCAGATAATGTCCAGGTAGTCATTGAGACGAACCTCCACCGTGTAGTCACTCCACAGAAACCTGTGCCAGGAGGGTGGGCAAGGGGGTCAGGTCTGGGTTAGGGGCTTTATTGCACCCCCAAATCCCCCGTACCCAGGGGGGCCAGCACCTCGGCCACACCAGCGCTGCCTGGGGGCACCCTTGGGTGCACCCTCCCCTGTGCTGTCTTGCAACACCTGGAATAGCTTTGAAAAGGAAGCCCCCCCTTCACTCCCCCTCCGGGCGGTGAGTGGTGAGCGCACCCCAGTTCCCAGCGCTCCCCAAGAGCCGGGGAGCAGGGAGGGGAGCCGCTGGGACGCGCAGCCTGCCCGCACCCTGCCCGGCCCAGCGCTGCCGGAGCGGGAGGCGTCGCGGCTCTCGCCGTGGGGCAGCCAGCCCGGCTCCGGCTGCGCCCCACACCCCAGCCGGGGGGGGCACGCCGGGGTCCCCACCTCGCCGGCTGTGGTGGCCTCGAGAGGGCACAGCCACCCCAAAAAACCTGCGGGGGTTGGCACAGAGGACATGGCCCTACACCCGTGGGGGGCACGGCCTGGGCAGGGGGGAGAACTCCCAGAACCTGGGGAGGGAGCGGCTCAGCCCAGGCAAGGAGGGGAAGCCCAAAATCTCCCCAGGGCTGCCCGAGTGTGGGGCACCCCCACAGCCTGGGAGTGTGGGGGGCTCCCCGAAAGCCAAGGGGGACGGTCCTAGAGCCTGAGAGAGCTCACGCACCTCTACAAGTAGGGCGAGTCACGGCCGGGGGGGGACCCCCAGAACCTGCTTGAGATGGGGTCACCCCGCAGCCCCGGCGGCCGGTGAGCTGGGGGGGCCCCGATCCAGGTCTAACCCCCCCCGCACATCCTGCCCCGTGTTTGTCAACACGGTCCCCGGGGCCGGCGCCGGGGCTGGCGCCGCGCCCCCCCCGCGGGAAGGAAGCGGCCCCTTCGCACGGCCCTGGGAACGGAAAGGCCCCCCCGGGCGCACCTGGAGCGGCCCCGCCGCCCCCCGCACGGCCCCGCACCGGCCCCGCCGCCGCCCCGCCCCCGCCGCCGCCCCGCGCTCGCACAACAACACACGGCACCGGGCGGGGGGGGACCCCGCACGCGCGGCACACCCCCACCGGTATCGGGCAGGGGGGCGGGAGCCTCCCCCACACCGAGAGCAGCACCGGCGGGGACGGGGCACCGGGACCGGCAGCGGGCGGGGGGGCGCGCACCTTCCCCACCGAGACCGGCGGTAACCGCGACACGAACACACCCCCGCCAGCACCGGACCGGGACACGAACACACCCCCACCCCCGCCAGGACCGGGCCGAGGGACACAAACCCCCGCCTCCCCCACCGGGAAGGGGGCACAGTCCCCACAGAACACCACGCTCCAGGTGCGCCCCAACTTCACACACACACACACCCCATCCCCTCACACGGGACCGACACAGAGCAGGGCCACCCCCCAAAATGTGACCCACACCGGGCAGGGACTCTGCACATACACTGGGGGCTGTGGGTGCAGGATGGAGCTGTGGGTGCAGGATGGGGCTGTGGGTGCAGGATGGGGGGATATGGGTGCAGGATGGGGCTGTGGGTGCATGATGGGGGACATGGGTGCAGGAGGGAGAGCTGTAGGTGTAGGATAGGAGCTATGGGTGCACACTGGGGTCTGTGGGTGCAGGACGGGGGGCTGTGAGTGCAGGATAGGCCTGGGGGTGCACACTGGGAGGCTGTAGGTGCAGGATGGGGATCTTTAGGTGCAGAACAGGGGTCTGTAGGTGCTGAACAGGGGTCTGTAGGAGCAGGATGGGGGTCTGTAGGTGCAGGATGGGGGGCTGCAGGTACACCATGGGGATCTTTAGGTGCAGAACAGGGGTCTGTAGGTATAAAATGGGGGTCTGTAGGTGCAGGATGGGGGTCTGTAGGAGCAGGGTGGGGGTCTGTAGGTATAAAATGGGGGTCTGTAGGTACACCATGGGGGTCTGTAGGTGCAGCACAGGGGCCTGCAGGCACAGAGCCGGGGTGGGCACAGCGGGCATGCTGCCACTGGCTGGCAGGAGCGCGGTGCCTCGCTGTCGGCTCCCATTTGCTCTGACATGGATCCATCCGTGTCCCGGCCGGCGCGCGACGCTTCGCCGCGTGTTGTGAAGCGATAACTCAGCCGCATTTGCAAAACAACTTTCCTCTTGTTTATTCCATAATGATCCATTGATTGTGGGTAATGTTGCATGCCCTGTGCCGCAGCGGGCGCGGAGAGCTCCCCTGGCACGCGGCAGGGGCTCCGGCAGGCGCCGGCGCGGCAACCTGAGAGCGGCCGGGGCTCCCTCAGCCTGCGAGGCCAGGCCGTGGGGCTGTGCCCCACATCCCCCCACATCCCAGCCTCTCTCGCCACCCCCTCGCTCCCAGGGAGGCTGCTTCGCTCTCATCCTCCCTGCTTGTGGCCAGGCCTGACATCATCCATAATGACAGTGCCAGGCCTCTGCTGCCGGGATGCCGGCGCTGCCGCGGCTTGCACAGGGGAGCACTCCTGGGAACACGGCTGGGATCTCACGTGCAGGCCACGGGGATGGGTGCAGCAGCGATCCCATGGTGCTGGCGTCGCCCTGGTACTGCCCCCTCCACGTCAGGGACAGGCTGTGCCTGGGGAAAGCAAGGCAGGCAGCACTGACGGGGTAGGGCTGGGCAGCCCTGGTGGTTGAGCCTCGTGCTGGGCTGGCCAGGGCCATAATGAGCCTCCTGGGGCATCATGCTGGATCCATCCTGTGCTGCTGGGATGTGGCACCCAACCCTGTTGGCCAAGGGGCTCCCCTGTCTCATGTGCCACGGCCCCAGCCCTGGAGCAGGGCCACCAGGTCACAGGGAAGGGGCTGGGAGTGAGGCCACGCGGGCACACCGAGACCCAGTGCCACCGCCAGAGCACTGGTGGAGGAGCAGGAGTGGAAAGGCAAGCCCATGTCCCCTGCTGGGGGACAGTCTGAGGCAAAAACTGGGGCTGGAGGTGCCCCATTACCTCCCTTGGGACACAACGTTGGGGCACAAGGTGGGCAGAACCCTGGGTAGGGTGGGTGCCCACCTGCAGTGGCACCAGCAGTGCCAGTGGTGGTGCGCACATGGTGCACACGGTCACGGCCACGGCACCTGGAGCAGGTGACAATGGGCTGGGTTTGGTGCTGCGATGGAGGGACAAAGGTGAAGCCGTCTCAGGCTGTAAACATCGCTGCTGCTCCGTGTGGGGCAGGGAGGCTTGGCCAGAGGCCGCCGAACTCGTGACAGTGTTTGTGGTTTGCTGGCTGGGGACACCCGGGAGTGCCCCGGCCCCTGGCTGGGCTGACGTCACCCCTGCAAGGCTGGGGGAGGAAGAGGAGCCGTCCAGTTTGTGGCCGGGAGCGAAGGCCGCGGTGACGCAGTGCCAGCTGCGTGCAGCCTGGCAGGTAGGCATGGCAGGTAGGCATGGCCTGATGCCAGCCTGGTGGGGGCAGAGCCGCAGCCCCAGGGCTGTCCAGCTGTGCCAGGACCTCGTGGCTTTGGCCAGAGAGCCCTGACTGGGCAGGGGAGCTGCCCCGAGGTGAGAAGAGCCTCGTGCCACACAGCTGCTCCTGGCACACATCTGGATCTGCTGCCAAGGCCGTGAAACCCCAAAGTACCCAAGGGGCACCCCAACCTCAGCACTGGGGCCCAACAATGGCCCCCCACTTGACTTGGGGCAGCTGGGCTTGGGAATGCCCTCGACCAGCACCCCAGAAGACCCCTGGTGGGTCTGGGCTGTCCTGCTGTGCTCAGCCCTAGGGCACGGGGCACACCTGAGCCAGGTGCCCCCCAAGCTGTGGGTGGTGCCACTCATGCACAAGAAGCGGTGCCAGGGTCGAGGCATGTGGCAGGAGGGATCCTGCAGGCAGATCTCTCTGTGCCAGGGCAGTGACTCCAGCTCTCACACCCCCCCGGGGCACTGGCCACCCAAGCTGTGCCAGCCTCACCGTGCCACGTGCCACCAGCGTGGCACCACACTGGCACAGGTGCTTTGGCCAGTCCCTGGCAATCAGCACCTGGCCGGACGCGGTCCTCGGCAGTGGCAGCGGTGCCTGCACTGTGCCCACCCTGCCCCGGGCCAGCAGGCAGCTGCCGGTGGCACCTCCGGACCCCGGGAGGGGGTCCATGCCAGGGAGCTCAGCCCATGCCAGGCCTGCCGGAGCGCTGGGGGGGCCGTGGCGAGCCCGGCGCCTGCTGGGAGGGCTCCCAGGACCCGTCTGACGGGTTCGTCGGCTCTTCCCGCAGCCGGGCAAGCCCGGGCCGGCGGGACACCCAGCCACCGCCCAGCAGCGCCTGCTGGGTGGGGGAGAGTGGCTGCCCGGCTCCCCGGGGCTGTGAGGACCCCCTTCCCCAGGAATCCGCACCGGGAGCGGGGCCCTCGCAGCCCCTCATCCCTGCGGGGAGAGTTCCTGCCCCCCCTCCCTGGGGGCACCGGGCTCCCTGGGGTCAGGACCCCACGAGGGCTGTGGGGGTCTGGGAGCCCCAGCAACGCCCCCCTTTAGATGCGATCCCACCCCCAGGCACAATCCAGCCCCCAAATCGCCTTGGCTGGAGGCGCTGGGGGGGGGGATGAGGGCGTCCCCCACCCGCAGGAGCCGCCAGCGTGTGCCAGATCCCCCCAGAGCAGGCAGGAGCCGGCATGCCCGGCACAGCCAGACGCGCCGCAGGGGCGATGCCGGAGTTCCCATGGGGTTGCCAGCGCCCCGTGTCTGCTCTCTCCGTGCGGCTGGCGAGGATGGCAAGGAAGGATTTCCTGCTCCCAAACGCCCCCCAGGGCTGCGTTCGCCCCCCGCGCTGCCCTTACCTTCCAGCGCTCCTGCTGTCCACGCCGCATTCCTGCGGGAAGCACCGCGGCCCTGCCGGCGCTGGGGGTCCATGGGGAGCAGAGGCGGCGATGGGAGTGCCCTGCATCCCCCTGGCAGCGGCACCCAGCCTGTTGTGCCTGGCAAGGCGGGTGGCACGGCGGAGGTCAGCCCTCTCCTGAGCGCCTGTCCGAGCCGGAGCCCCCCAGGGACCCCTCCGAGGGCTGGAAGTGCTGCACGCCACCGTGACAGGGATCCCTTTTTTTATCCTTTTATTATTTTTTTTTTAATAGACTAAGAGCAGAATATGAAAATCACCAGCCAAAGCACTTTGAAAAAAAGATCGAGAATGTTTTTTTTGTTTTGTTTTGTTTTGTTCTGTTTTTCCCCAAAAAGTGTCTGTGCGTTTGCATAGGTCGGGTCTTCACGGAAGACGAGGAAAATCCAACACGTTCGACTATGTACAAGCCAGCCCGGGGCCGGCGCCGCTGCCTATGGTACAGTATAGATATATCTCTGTAGTCGCTCTCTGTACAGTATGTATAGATCTATATGGGTATGTACACTCTGCCCGGCCCCGGGGGGCCCCGCTCTCCTCGGGCTCAGCCCCCCAGCCACGGTGGGGCACGGGGGGGCTGCGGGCAGACCCCGCGCTCCCCGGGCTGCTGTCGGCGGAGGGCGCAGCGCTCCGGCCGCATCCCCGGAGCGGCGGATCGGTGATGCCGGCCCCGCGGGGCAGCTCCGCGGGCGGCTCTCCGGGCAGGGGGCGGTGGTCCGGCCGTGCTCCCCTTCTCACGAGGGGCAGCAGCTCGAGGGGGCCGCGCTGGGCAGAGCGGCGCTGGCCGGGCCCCCGCGGGCACCGGGAGCTACGAGGCCAGGAGCGTCATGAGGAAGAGCGCGGCGGCCACGGCCAGGGGCAAGTGTTCCCGCTTGGGGCTGGTGCCGCTGATGCTCTTCTCCAGCTTGGGCATCTCCGGGTTGAAGTTTTCTGTGGGGAAAACGAGAGGATGAGGAGGGCAGCAGGGCGGCCCTGAACCCCCACCCCGTGGCCGGGGCTGCCCCAGGGGCGGCGGCGGGAGCGGGGACACGGCGCTGCGGGGCCGGGGGCTGTGCCTGACTCACCCAGGTCCTCGATCTTCACCTCGGGCCGCAGGGTGAACTGGGGCAGGGTGGGCGCCAGCTTCTCCCCGGAGTGCGACGCTGTGGAGGGAGAGAGGGCACGGGGGTGACGCTCCCTGGATGCCCCGCACCGCAGCTCCCACAGCTCCCCCCTTCCTCAGGAGGGACGGGGCACCCACGGGCCAGCCCCGCCGCCCCGGCTCGCCCACAGCCCCCGGGATGGGCACGGGGGTACTTACTGGAGGCGCAGCAGACAAACACCTTCATCTTCAGGCAGGCCCGGCGGTGGTTGTGTGTCGGCGTGGCTGCAAGGCAAGAGCACGCTGAGAGGGGCTCCGTGGCAGGGATCCCAGCCCCGGGCACCCCGAGGCTTGGTGGGTCTGGACAGAGAGGGGACTGGTACTGCCCAGGGGTGCGATCAGGGCTGGGGGGATGCAGCAGCACCCCAAATCCTGCACCAGTGCTCTGTACCAGCACCCTAGGCCTGAATATCAGCTTCAGCATCACAACCCAGCACCTGTATCTGGCACCAATACTGCAACCCTGCAGCAGCAGCCCCTAACCCTGATCCTGCGGCAGCATTCTGCATCCTACATCATCATCTCCCAGCACCCCACCATGCCCTGGCACCCCCATCCACACCCCTATCTGTTCCCTGCATCATGTAAAGCCCCCCTCTCTCCATCCCTTTGCTCCTTCACCCCTTCCCCGAGCTCCAGGTTCCCACTCTTAGGGGGGAAACAGCTGCCCAGTTGTGGGGGTGCAGGCGAACCAGCCAAGGGGGACACACAGGGGCCCAGCTGGGGTGGGACCTGAGGGACAAAACTCAGTGGGACTTGAGGAGATACAGCTCGGTGGGACCTGAGGGGACTCAACTGGGATGGAACCTGAGGAGACACAACTGGGGTAGGACTTAAGGGGACCCCGCTGGGGTGGGACCTGAGGTGACCCAGCTGGGATGGGACCTGAGGGGCTCAACTGGGATGGGACCTGAGGGGACAAAACCAGAGTGGGACCTGAGGAGACACAGCTCAGTGAGACCTGAAGGGCTCAGCTGGGCCGGGACCTGAGGGGACAAAACTGGGGTGGGACCTGAGGGGCTCAACTGGGATGGGACCTGAGGGGACACAACTCACTGGGTCCTGAGGGGACACAACTCACTGGGACCTGAGGGGACCCATCTGGGGTGGGACCTGAGGGGACCCAGCTGGGATGGGACCTGAGGGGCTCAACTGGGATGGGACCTGAGGGGACAAAACCAGAGTGGGACCTGAGGAGACACAGCTCAGTGAGACCTGAAGGGCTCAACTGGGCTGGGACCTGAGGGGACAAAACTGGGCTGGGACCTGAGGGGACACAACTCACTGGGACCTGAGGGGACCCATCTGGGGTGGGACCTGAGGGGAAACAACTGGGGTGGGACCCAAGTAGACCCCGCTGGGGTGGGACTTGAGGAGACACAGCTCAGTGGGACCTGAGGGGACTCCGCTGGGCAGGGACCTGAGGGGACAAAACTGGGATGGGACCTGAGGGGACACAACTCACTGGGACCTGAGGGGACACAACTGGGGTGGGACCCAAGTAGACCCCGCTGGGGTGGGACCTGAGGAGACACAGGTCAGTGAGACCTGAAGGGCTCAGCTGGGATGGAATCTGAGGAGCCCAACTGGGGTGGGACCTGAGGAGACGCAACTCAGTGGGACCTGAGGGGACCCGCTGGGGTGGGGCCGGCAGTTTGGGGGCTGTGTGGGGGTCCCCCCCCAGCACCCCACGTACAGATGTAGTAGTACTCCTGCCCCGCACGGAACTCGTAGCCCAGTGAGAAGGCGCTGTAGCGCTGGAACTTCTCCGAGAACTTGATGGGGCTGTGGGGCGCGTGCGGCCGGTTGCACTCCCAGCGCTTGAAGCCCTGGCTGGTGTTGCAGGTGCGGTAGCCCTCCGCGTTCACCATGTAGAGCACGTACTGCTCCAGCCGGTGCTCGGGCACCGAGGCGTTGTAGTGAGGGCAGTAGATGTCCAGGTAGTCGTTGACATTCACCTGCACCGTGTAGCCCTCCCGCCGCAGGCTGAAAGGGAAAGAAGGGGGGGTCAGGCGTGGGGAGGGTCTGCACCTCCCCAGGCAGGGGTCTCCAGGGGCTGGATGAGGTCGCAGTGAAGGAACTCTGGGAGCACTGCTGCCTGCTGTGTGAAGCTCCCGACACTGTGGAAGCCCTGCACAGCCAGAGCCTCACGAGTGGAGCAGAATCGCTGTCCTGGGTGGAGCTGGGGTCGGGGACAGGCGCTGCTGGGGACGGGTGTCAAGCCACACGCACAGGTGGGATGGGCAAGAGCATGGGCATAAGAGACAGCCTCAAAGAGAAGATGATGCACAGACAAACCCAGGAGGGCATCAGGGTCCCACAGGCACCGGGTTATCCACGGGGCAGCCCGTGGGTGTGCGGGGCACCCCGGCATTCCCCGGAATTCCCCGGCATTCCCCATTTGCAGCAGCCTGGAGCCGGCCCACCGCTGCCGCCCACCACGGCCCTGGCACGCGCCGCAGCTCGGATCCAGGATTTCTCACCCTGCTCCGGCTAATCCCGTTAGTTCGTTAATGCCGTAAAGGGTGGCCCTGGGGGAGCCTCATTTACATTGATTAGGAGCAGCAATCCCCTCAGATCCACTCAGGAGAGGCTCCGCTGGCTCCTAATCCGCGCCCGACGGAAATCCCGGCCTCGGTAATCCTCGCCGCCGCGCTGACCCGCTGCTCCTGCCAATTAATTACCGCCCGCCGCTGGCTCGGCACCGGACCCTGCCCGGCCCTCGCTGGCCCGCATCCCGCGGGACACGGGCAGCAGCATCCCGGCACGCGTGGGACGCTCCGGCACCCCAAACCCCGGAGCGTGAGCCCCCCCGAGCATCACCGGGGTTCCCTTGGGGTGCGGTGCGGGGTCCGCCGCCCCTCCCGCAGCCCAGCGGCTCCCTGGGTCTGCCCGGCAGGGCTGGGCAGGCAGCGGGCAGGGCTGCGCGTGCAGACGCCGCACCCTGCACCATCGCCCCCGGGGCTGTTTGAGGAGCCCCGGCACGCCGCCAGTGCCCGCGGCACCGCAGCCGAGCCCGGAGACGGAACCGGAGCGGGACGCGGTGTCGGGAGGCAAAACGGGGGGATAAGGAGCAGCAGGGGGCTGCGGGGGGCGGCCGATGGCAGAAGTGATCTCTCGTGGGACAGCGAGCGCAGCCCCACGCGGCCCCTCCCTCGCTGCGCTGCCGCTACTCCGCAGCCCATCCCGGCAGCCGCCGGCAACTGCTCCGCCGGGAAGGTGCTGAGGCAGCCACCCTTGCTGAGCGGGCGCCGGGACCTTTCATCTTCCCCCTTTGATGTGGTGGGAAGGGGGGCGGGGGGAGAAAAAGGCTTGTTATTAAAGAAATGGCCCCAAGGAGAAAATTGCAATTAACTCCACGCGGGACGCAGAGCTGGGACGCCGGCGTACCCCAATGCCAGCTGCCCCGCACCGGGGCGGGCACCCGCGGCTGGGGCTGCCCACAGCCAGGCTGAGGCTGTGCCATGGGACAGGGGGGCAGGAGAAGGGTCACAGGTGACACTCTGTCACGGGTTGCTGGGGAGAGGTAACCCCCAGTGGCACCCAGTGCTGAGGCACGGTCCCCCGGGACCCCAGGCTGGGGCTCGTTAAGCCACAGCTCATTAAGAAGCGTGGCTGCTGATAAACAGCCTCACTAACGAGGCACCGAAGTGTCCCCTGGGCTGGGGGACACCAGCACCCCCGGCAGGGTGCAGGAGCCCCACTGGTGTGGCAAGGGGCCCATGGCAGTGACTCCCACGGGCACTGCCAGCTGCCACGGCATGCCAGGAGCCCACAGGCATCACCGTAAGCTGGGAGGGGCTGGGGAATGGCCCCATATGGGGAGAGCCACAGGGCCACCACAGCCAGAGGCACATCCAGGTGACCCCAGTAGCGGCTTTGGTCACAACACTGTGTCCCTGCCATGTTCTGCTCCTGCACAGTCACTGCAGAACAGCAACTCCAGATATCCCCAAACCCGGCAGCCCCCTCAGTGCAACAGCCCAAGACCTGCTGACAGCACCATCCAGGGAGCCCGTGGGCCTTGGTTTGGGGTGGAAGGGCAGGAACAGACACTCTGAGGGAGGGACTCTGCCTCTTTTCCCACCAGCACCCATCCCAGTCAGGCACGGGCTGCCTGGTCCCTGCCAACCCTACAACTATCGGGAAACACCAGCAACCTGGGCTGGGCTGGAGCCTCCATATCCCAGACTGGCAGCCATGGCACGGCCGGTGGGGATGGTGGGCTCTGGCAGTGCCCGAAGGGTTAAATGCGGGAGGAGAACGGGCAGCATCACTTCTGCACGACTGCGTTTGTAGAGCAGGGCTTGGCGAGGCACTGGTACCTTCCAGCAGCCTGTCACGCTGGGCAGATGGATGTCCCCTGGCAGCACCGGCCCCGGGCTCGCTGCCCACCGGCCCCGCACCGGAGGGACGCCGGTGGCACCCTGGTGGCACCCCGGTGGCAGCCTGGCTACCTGGCACGCCGCAGGCACCGGTGAGCCGGGCGGCCGCTCCGCTCCCATCTGCTGCCATCCATCCGGGCTGCGTGCCGCACGCTGGCTCCCACCCTGCCGGGGAGCGCCTGGTGCACTGCAGCACGCCCTGGCAGCGGGGGCACGGCGGGACAGACCCCCGGCGGGACCCCCACACTGCACAGAGCCATCCCCGTGGTGCTGCAGGGGCCGGGAGGGCAGCGCGGCCAGAGCTGGGCTCAGCACCCCGCACTGGTGGTGGCAGCGGTGAGGGGCAGAGCGGCGTGCTGTGTCCTCGATGTGGTGCCCCCCAGCACTGGGCAGCCCCCAGCACAGCCAGGCTCTTTGTTCGGCTCCAGCAGCTTCGTCCTTTTGGCGCATCCGGGGCCCATCCATCACCCGGGGAACAAAAAAGTGCCATTGATTTACGAGTCCCCTTCCCGTCACCCCGCGAGAGGCAAAGGCGCACCGACCACTGCGGCCGCTCCACCGCCCCGGACGGACGGACGGACAGACAGACCGCCGGTCCTCCCCGCGGGGGAGATGGGGGGCTCAGCGTGCCAGCCCTCCCCACGCAGCCAGCGCTGCACAGTCACGGCGCCCAGACGGCCGCGCACACGCGCGCTGGCTCGGCAGACAGCGCCCGCGACGCAGCCCACGCACACGGGTGGCACCGAGCCACGGGCGGCCCCCCCGGCCCCGCCGCACAGCCGCAAGGCGCGGGCGCCACCGGCACACCGTGTCCCCGGGGCCACCTCCCCGCCCGGGGAACCGGGGAGGCGAGGGCTGAGCCCCACGCGGGGGGAGCGGGGTGCCAGCGGGACAGGCAGAGCGCTCCCCGAGCGCCCCCGGAGTGCAGCAGCGCCCCACAGGTGCCCCCCCGTCGCTACCGACGGCCACACAATCCCCGTAATCCCGGCTAAAGCCGGCACCTTCCCGCGTTGCTAACAAGATCAATGAGGTTTCTAATTGGGTTTTAATTAAACCATCAATCTGCGACCGGTGACTCAATTACCAGCCCGGGCAGGAGCAGGTGGCCCCGGCCCTGTTGCACCCCGACACGGCGGCCGCTTCTCCCACGGGAACGCCGGCCGTGCTGCCGGGCCCGGAGCCGCCCAGCGCCGTGACTCACGGGGCACGGCTCGCTCTGCCCGTGGGCTCCTGCCGGGGCAGCCGTGCATGCCTGGGTGGTTGGGCTTCCTGGGTGCCCAGTCTGGAGGGTGGAGGCACGGGGTGGGGGCTGGCCGAGCCCCCCAGCCCGCCTAGGGGTGGCAAAGGGGGTGATGTTGGTGCTGTGCCCGCATCCAGCTCCACAAGTGAGCACGGAGCTGTCCCTGCTTGGGCACAGCTGCCCAGCACCTCCTGCTGGATGTCCCCAGACCGGGGGTCCCTCCTGCTGTGGGGGACCCCTCCTCAGCCCTGCAGGTGCCCATGGGTAGGGGGATCTGGCCAGGCACTGCCCTGGTGTTGGGGGTTGGCTGCTGCAGAGGGGCCTGGGCACCCCCAGACCTGCTCTGCAGGGATGTGGCTCCTCTCCTGTGTGAGACACTGCCCAGCTCTGCACGGGGGCTTTCCAGAGCTCACTCCAGCCCTCTCCAGGGCCCACTCCAACCCTCTCCAGAGCCCACTCCAGCCCTGCTGCCTGCAGCACAGTCTGGGCCAGATAAAAGCCACCTTGAAGAGGTGAGCGTGGTGGCAGTGCCAGTGCTGGGAGGAGCTGCACGAGCTGTGTGCCTGCACAAAATGCCACAACCTCCCTGCACACGGGTGGGCTGTGACCCCCACCCCACAGCCAGGCACCCTGTGTCCCCCTGTGTCACAGCACCCCCCGCTCTGCCCCCTCCATGGCACCCTCAGTGTGAGCATCCTCAGGTCCCAAATCAGTCAGTGGTACACCCCATCCTGCTTTTGGGGTGCTTCTTGGGGTGCAGCAGTGTCAGGAGCGCTGGCCACGTCTGTGTCCACGAACAGGGACAAATTGCTGTCCCCATCTTGGCTCGTGGGACATGCAGCAGGGACAGAGCCTCTGGCATGCCAGGGCCCAGCTTGTCTGGGGACCCTCCAGGAGCCCCTGACCCCGCTCAGTGGGTCACCCCAGGGTCACAGGCCCCACAAAAGCTGGTGCTGGGTGGACGTGGGTGTCCTGCACCTTTGTCGCGTGTCACCAGGCCTGTTCCTGGCAGGACTGGGGAGTGGAGAACAGGGATGAGTCAAGGGTCATCCCACACCCCCAGGGCTTGCTGGCTGCCACCAGTGGAGGTGATGGGACAGACGGATGGAATGCACAGCTGGACCAACAACCAGGCCGAGCAGGAGCAGGGTTTGAGGATCCCGCCTTCACACCTCCCCTGGGCTTGGCCAACACACCCAAACCCACGGCATGAGGGGTGCTTTGCCTGCCTGGGGACCCTTCCCGGCCTCCTGGCACCCCAGCCATTCCTGGCATGGCCAAAGGGGCTGGTGGAGCTTCCCAAGGCACCACTGGGCCGCTCCCTGGGCTGCCCCTCATCCTGTCATCCCACCGAGGGCATCAACAGGGGTACCCAGGGTAGCGTGGCAGGAGCCACAATAAATTTGTGGCCAAGGAGTGGCCACAGCCAGCAACCCCCTCCTCCCCGGAGAGCCCTGCAGGGCCGCGCTGAGCTTGTTTATGGCTCCACTTGCAGCAGGGTTGCTGGGATTTGCAGGCTGCGGCCCAGGGAGCCTAATTCCCCCCATAATTTATCTAATCCAGACACTTTGCCGCGCGGCTATAATTGCGTCCGAGCTGCCGCACTGCCTAACAATAAATATCAGCCCCGGAGTCCCTGGGACACGGCTCTGCCGCAGCCGCCCCCACCGCGCCGCCCATGCCCTGAGCCGGACGCTGGCGGCCGCGCCAGACACGCCTGCGCAGGGGGTGCTGGCAGCTGGCTGCGACACCCCCGGCTTGGCACGGCCCTGGCACTGCCACCCCCTCCGCCCTGTCCCTCGAGAGGCGCCAGGGCAGCGGCAGGTCACGGTGGTGATGGGGAGACGAGGGCGAGGTGGCACACCTGCCAGCGTGGTGGCGATGTCACGATGTGGGGACGAGGCTGGGGGTGCAGGGGGGTCCGGGCAGGGCAGCGGGGTGCGGGGGGGAGGCTGAGCGTGGCGGCACCTCGGCATTGTGCTGCGCCTCGGCACGTCGCACACACGCACGATTTATGGGGCCCGAGCTTCCGCCTGGCGACACAATCTCAATGGCAGGGGAGGGGGCTGCAGGGGCTGCTCCCACCCTGCACAAAGGGGGGTGGGATGGGGGCAGAGCCCAGGAGAGCCCCTGCACCGACGAGCGCCAGAGGATGCTCCGGCTGCGTGCATGTCCCCGCCACACCCCTGGGCACTCGCACCAGCGAGGGACGGAGAGGTGGGCGATGGCAGCAGGCGCAGATCCCCGTGGAGGGGGTCCCCACGGACACATCACAGCCCCCATTTCCCGGGAGAGTCCGGCCCAGACCGTCCCCATCCACATCCATTCCCAGCTGTGGGTGCTCCGGGAGGGCAGAGGCGCAGGGTGTGAGGGAGGGGCTGAGCGGCCAAGGCCACCGACCCCCGAGTGCTGCGCTGCCGGCGGCCGCTCCCACCCTCCGCTCTCAGCCCCCGCTGTCCCCGCAGCCCCCGCTGCCGCCCCGGGGGTGCCACCGCTGCCGGCCAAAGACGATGGGGGGGCGGCAGGCACCTGTCGGGCCCCCCCGCCTCCGCCGCGCCGCCGGTGCCGCTCCCGCACCCAGACATGCGGGGGGCGCGACTGGCGGGGGGAGCGGGACCCCTGCCCGCCCCGGCGCACCGGGAGATGGATGCCTGGGGGAGCCAGGCTCTCCCCGCTGCCCCCGGTGGGTGTAGCGCTGGCGGGGGCTCTTCCCCCGGTGCTCACGACCCCGTCGCGCCCGCACCGGGAGCCGCCGAGCCCCGCCCGGCAGCGCGGCCACGGGGACACGAACCGGCCGGGCGGCCGCCCCCCTCACGCCGCAGCCAGCCCCGATCTCACGGGCATGGCGAGGGGCACCGGGGGCACCGGCAGCCGGGGAGCGGCGGCCCCGCCCGCACGAGGGCGCCGCGAGGAGACCGGCACCGGGGGTCCCGCAGTCCCGGTGCCGCCCGCCGCCCCCAGCGCACCCTTCAGCGCGATCCCCGCCGCGTCCTTCCCGGCGGCGCCCCCGGCGCCCCCGCCCGCACTCACTGCGGGTTGGAGCTGTTCCAGTGCACGGCGTGCCGGTTGCCCAGGGCCCCCGGCGGCCCCCGGCCCGGTAGCAGCAGCAGCAGCGGGAGCAGGGGCAGGAGCCCAGCCGCCATCCTGCCGCCGCCCGAGCCCGCCGCGATGCCGGGGAATGGAGGGAGAACCGAGCCCGAGCCGCCCGCGCCCCGCGGCCCCGGCGCCCAGCTCCGCCCCGCGCGCGCCCGC